CCTCTTGGAATATTTCCCCCAGTAGTGTAGCAGGAGTTTCTTTTGCCATCAGTCTTCCCAAGGGTTTTGTCTTGGTTTTTCACTTCAGAGGGAATGGTAATGGCCTTCCCCTCACCTGGCCACGGTTTCACTATATAGCTATCACCTGGTGTTCTGTTCTGTTTCTCTTCCAGAGTGAAAGAGTTGAGAAAGGCCAAGGAACTTGAAGACATACAGCAGCAACCCTTAGCAATGTGACATTGCTTTTCAGACTGTTTTCATTTCTGTTTTTAGCAGAGACAGCAACGACACGCACGCACACACACACGCACACACACGCACACACACAATCCCTCTGCAGTTTTGGGGAGATCAGCTGCAGGATTTTAACAGGAATGTGTTGGTCATTGCATCTGCACTTTCATGGACAACTTTTAATTTGATCAGCAAGACATCTTGGAACTCAATCTTCTGTTGGATCATGGGAAAACAAGACACCACGAGGAACTGAAAGAGGCTTCCTCTTCTTAGGAAGAAGCCAGTTTCCTTCTCATATAGGGCTGTATTCAAACATCGTGTGGAACTGTACAAATATTTATACCAAAAATATAGACAAGCAAAGGTGGGGATGCACTAGCAACAAAAGAGAATGCTGCTCCTGCACCTGTCAGTTACTTCCAAGAAGCTGAATCTTTGGGATTGATTCTCAGTGGAGGGCTTAGATCATACAAATCTTTATTGGGTCCGTGTGTTCTCATTTCCTTCACTGATCTTATTTTATTTTAATTTGTGTTTGTTTTAATCTCTACAGCACACTTAATGCAACTTTTAAAATCTGCAGGTTTTTAATGTCTTGTGGAAATTTGCAGAGGGGCGGGTGTGTGGTAAACGGGTAATGCATGGGAACTAATGAGAAACAGCTTACAGAGTTTAAATTTATTTTCTTGTCCCCACCACCTCCCAAGAACCTGCGAGTATAGTGATCATCTTGTCCCTTTTGTCATGCTCAGCACTTTAATTTTTGGGCCTTACTTTCATGTGCAATGAGATTTACTTAGAGAATTGGTACAGCATGGAGCCTTTTTTAGTAATCTTGGAAACTGTAGTCATTCTAAGGAATCATAAACCTTGCCTGGACATTTGCCACCTAAAAGATCAGTGTGGTGCTGCGTTCTGGCCAGTAAATTCCATATTTTTGGCTATAATCTCATCCAAACTGAGCAGTTTCTGTGTATATATAGAAGGTAGAAACGGAAAGTGAGAAAATATTTGAAAGGGATTATATTAATTGCTAAATATTTTATTCACAAAGGTCAATAACATGGCAAGATAAAATTATTTGTATAGTTTTGTCTGAATGAGCGAGAAAAAATGTGGATGTATTGTTTGTATATATTGTATATATTAAAACAAAGAGATACGTGCATGAAATCAAGAAAAAAGAAATGAACAAAAGCAAAGCATTAGTGGCTATGGTCTGTAAAATGAAACAAAAAAAAACTTTATTTCACTATAAGAGTACTTTATTTTAAATGTTCTTTAGAAGAACATTTTGCTAAAGCATGACTAAACTGCAAAAAACAAAAAACAAAAAAAAAAGAGCTACTGTATTTAGACTTAGGATAAAAGGCAGAGTAACATTACTTTAAAAAAAAGGATATGTTTACATTTAATTTTGGCTACCAGGAGTTTATTTAATTTAAAATTTTTTTGCCAACGGTGCCAAGTAATGTGAATGCTAATATTGCTTAAGAAAATTAAGTTACTTTTGCTAAACAGATAATCATAAGATGAATCCGTATATAGCTTAACACCATCCACTCACTCCAACAAAGAACACTTAGAACGATCAAAACCTGACAAAAGAAATAGTATGAAAAGTAGGAAAACGTCTCACGTTTTTCATATCTCCTGCTGGAAATCAGAAAATATATCAAAAATTGCACAAAAATAACTAAGAATTTAAAAGATGCAAACTGGTCTCGTAGGGTTGTCATGGTCTATTACTCTTTCCATATAATGAGGAGCCAAAGAAATCTGATGCTTTTAAAAATTAAACTACTAACGTTAAATTGAGAGAATAAAGTTCGCATTTGCTGATGCCAGTTTAAAATTCCCAGGTAAAGTTTCAGGATCAGTTGGTGTAAAGCTGAGATAACAGTTTTGTTTTGTTTTTTTCTTGGTTCTGGCTGCCAACTGTAAGTTAAAACTCAAGGCTCGTTGTGAAGCCTAAAAATATTCACAAATAAGCTTTTAAACTGGTGTCTTTAGAAGGAAGGTAGATACAAAAAGATTGTGGTAAAAACTGGGGTCAGTGCTCTTGGTGCCTTTTCTATAATTGTACTTGTTTTTTAATTACTTCCTTTCACTGCCAACCTCGGATTACTGTACAGTATATGTCTTACCGCTTGTGATCAGCTTTGACAACAGTGACGGCCCCACAACCAGTAGCCACCTGTACATTTGTAAACTGACCTGGCTTGATTTTGTTTTTAAATGTGTGGGTTATGTTGCAGCTGTTGCCCTCCCCCCGCCCCGAAATGCCTATTATTTTACCAAATTTGACCTGTAGGAGGACACTGAGTAATTTACAAACACACAAATGTATCTTAAGTGGGAATAGGAAGGTGAAAGCCAGCTCTTTCAGGATATCCCATATTAGTACCGAATTTAGATACGTTTATTCCATTTATTATGGTACAAATAACTGATCTTTTGACAAGAGTAATGACCTCAGTGGATTTGCGTTAACCCTCACATTAACTTATTCATTTATTTTTTTTTTAATGTCTCCCATGCTACATTATTAGCCTAGTAAGTTAGAAACTTCTGGAAGATAAAGACTTAACATAGAATTAGGAGGGTTCTTACGGAGGGGATAGGAAGTAGGTTCAAAACCTACCCGTGTAGCCTACCAGTACAACTGTGAATCCTAGGTGAGGTACGAATGCACTTCCACTGAAACGAAGCATTTCTGACCGCTTTTCCTTGGTTGTGAATCTTAATTTTGAATATAAGACGATAGGTAAGCGCAGCTTTCTTGGATAATCTGAATTCCCAAGTGCCAGGAGTAGGATTTCATTATAAAATTAATAGCTAATCTTATTCTGTCTCCTGAAGATTTAATTGCTATTCTTGTTACCCATTTGAAATCAGCTGTACTGTGTGAACGAAATAAAGACAATAACTCGAACCCCTCTCTGGCTGCACGGTTGCTTATGGCAGTTCCACACAGTAGTTGGCGCCCAATGGGGGGTCCCTGAGACTTGCATGTAAAACTAGTCTAGATGTCTTCTTTTTTGTAAGTTTTATTTTTGTAATTGTGCATGTGAAGCATCATTGAATCAATGGATCTGTTGAAGAACTCAGCTGCTGGAAACCATGCAAAATGTTTTGAATTGCCCTTAAAATATGGAAAATGTTTTCTGAATGCTTTATATTCTTTCTGCTGTAAATTAAAAATGAAGAAAATTTCCCCATACTATGTGTGTGCTTTGCTTTAACTTTACCTGATACTGAAATCCAGGGTGACTGGCCTGTTTCAAACCCAGATGAGATCATCTCATGTATCTCCTTAGATCTAGAGACAAGTGTTTTGGCATCGACTGTTACAGAGCTTCAGACATGCCCATAAAAGAAAAATGTCTTCGTAAGCCACTGCCCCTAGAACCCTTGCTTCTCAATGGTCTTCTCAGGCACCTCTCAACATACCAGTTACTTGAAACATAAAGACACCAATCTAAATTCACCACTGCCGCTAAAATCCTCTGCTGTTTTTGAAAAGGCATTTTCCAACTGACTACTAATATCCATCTTCTTTTCTGAGAATTCTGTCGTCATCTCCTTTCCTTTCACTGCAGTGTCATCTTGTCTCCCTGGTAGGCCCTCTTCCACGGAGTCCCGTGTGGATGCTCCTGCCAGACCAAGTCCGCAAGGTATCTCCCAACTCCACCAGGCCCCAGTGATTTCTGGAGCCCACTGCATTTAAATGACATTCTCCTTGCTTGTTTAGCCTCACTCTTTATTCTGTCTTACTTTCATCTGTACCGCGCAACCTGCCCCTTCCGGTTGGCGGTGCAAACCATGTCCATTTCCACTGCTGTCTTTGGTCATGTTTATTCATCCCTTGCCTGGAGAGTTCTCTTCTTATCTACTTACCCAACTCAAATCCCACCTCCTCTGTAACACTCTTGTTTATTCTAATACACACTGACCTTTCCCTTTTCAAATTATTACATTGACCGTCGGAAAAGACAGTTCGGTATTAAAAGTATTTTAGTTGCCATTTCTCATCTCACCTGCCGGTTGACCTGGCAGTGTTTTGCAGTGTTAATTTTTGTTTTGTTTTTTAAGGTAGGCGTGGTCTACGTTGGTAGGAATTCTTCCAGTAACAACTTTAAATACATTGCAGAGTAACTCACTGCATTTGGATTTATGCCTCCGCCTACAGCCGACCAGAAGTTGAGGACCTACTCTGTGCCGGGGCCCGGGGATATAGAAATACAGAAACTAACACAGCTCCTCATGGCCAGGCTCCCGTAAACAGATTGTAGTACGGTCTGTGCGGTGACAAATACTTGAGTCACAAACGAGCACACGAAGAGAGGGAGTCTAACCCTATCGACGCGCGTGATAAATACCCCAAAGGGACTTCCGATCTCTTTTTAACAAGTTTCCCTGGGAAACGTGGGGTCCCCAGGACCACTGGGTTAACGCGGGACTTCAAGCAGAAGCACACAGCCAGTCCCCAGTACTGTCACGGCCAGGGAAATGGCGCCCGGGCCCGGAATAATGTACCACGCCCCCGACCCAATTTACCTACACATTCCCCTTACAGCGCCTAACGCGCCACATCCCCCAGCGTCGCAAGGGCGGCGGCGGGCAGAGCGCTCCTGGCGCAGTCAGCTCGCGCGGGACCGCCCAGCGCTCTCGGCTGGCCCCGCCCCGCTGAGCCCCTCCCCCTTACGGCGCGCCCCTCCGCGGCCGCGCCCGGCGACGTCATCTGCCCCGCGCCGCCGCCCCGCCCAGCTCCCCGGCCTTCGGTCCCGCTGCGCCGCTCTGCTGACCGTCGCCCGCCGTCGCCAAAATGTGAGTGAGGCGGCGAGACGCGGGGCGGCCTCGGACTCCGGGGGGGCGGTGGCCCGCGGCTGAGACCCTCCCCCGGCTCGGTTCCCCCCCTCACCCCGGCAGCCGCTCGGACGCGGGCCTGCGCGGTGGCTCCCGAGGGCCAGGGGTGGGCGGCGGCCCCGAGGGTGCGGGCTGCGGGCGGGCCGAGCCAGCCCCGCGGCGCAGCTCGCAGCCCCGCGGCTGTCGGGCTGTCGCGGAAGAGGCGGGGGCGGGGCGGCCGGGGGCTTCCCGGAGCTAGGAAACGCCCCCTCCTTCCCCTGACCCTACCTGGACCCCACCCCTTCTCCGCTTCCCTTAACCCCAGCCCGAGGCTCCGGAGAGGAGCGGTGGCCCCTGCCCTAGACCTGGAGCGCCCGTTCGCCGCCTGGTGCTGGGCTGGGCTCCGGAAGTTGCAAGGGAAAGGACCTCGGCCCTGTGTAGGGCGGACTCGGGAGCAGAGCTGTGGACCTTCCCTCTCTAAGCAGAAGCCGTCTTGTAGTGGCCCTTAAAAAACATGGAGTTTCCCGTGGTAACATTCAGAGAAAACTGCCAAGAGTCACAAGGACCCTCTGGCCCCTCCAGCCTGTCCATCGCTCACCTAGAGAGGAGGAAGGCATGGGTGCCTCCCCCGGTTTCCTTCTAGAAGCTAGGGTCACCACTCTAGAGTATACCTGCTGAGGCTGCTGTGCCAGGAAATCACAGTGGTTAAGGTCTAGATCCGTGGAATCATATGGGACCTGGTCTAAAGACAGGCTCCACTGCAACCAGCTGTGTTGACTTTCTAAACCGCACTTTACACTTCTGTAAAATGAGGTTAATAGTAGTACCCCCTTCAAAGAGTTATAAGGATTAAATGAGAAAACGTACCAGTACATGGTCCTTCACTACTATCAGAGAATAAAAATAAAGTGTTAAGGGCAGGCATGGGACCTGCTACATCCCTGGTCTTTGACACATGGTAGGTATGAAAGAACTTGAATCAGTGGATGCATCAGTAGCTGTTGTGTACAAGACACATACTAGGTGCTGTCTTGGATACAGGGAAGAAACCTCTTAAGACACAGGAGTCTGTAAGGCAAGACATTACAGATGACCCTTGAACAACATGGGTTTGAACTGTGCAGGTCCACTTACACGTGGGTTTTTTCTGATAAGTACAGGACTGTAAATGTATTTTCTCTGTCTTGTGATTTTCTTAACATTTTTTCTCTAGCTTACTTCATTGTAATAACACAGTGTATAATACGTATAACATACAAACACGTGTAAATTGACTGTTTATGTTACTGATAAGGCCTCTGGTCAACAGTAGGCTATTAGTAGTTACATTTTTGGAGGAGTCAAAAGTTATATGCAGATTTTCAGTTGTGGGGAAGGGAAAGGGGTTAGCACCCCCAAACTCCCCCTTGTTCAAGGGCCATCTGTGTGTGTGAAAAATCAAAGCATGGCCAACCAAGTAATGGAAGCAATAAGGACTTCAGAGCCACAGTGGTCACGGAAGATCTTCCTGGGGAGAAACAGGCATTCAGTGGGGATTTGAAGAGGAGTACCTTTTAAGAGAGGAAGCACTGCTTCATCTCACTTTTCCCACTCATACCACCCCTCCTCCCTGCATCTTGATGTTCCTGACCCTGTTTCTGTGAATGAATATATTTCTCCTTACTGGAAAAGTGGCATTCTGTAATTACTCATAACTATGAAAACAGTTCTTGCCACAACGAGAGATCAGAAGAGTACTGAGTGCATTTAAGTAGATGTGTGCCTTTAAACAAAAAATTGGAAGGTAGAGTTTCTCTCTCTTAGGATCCCTGATCTGAAGATCAGGTGCTTCAGCGATGCAAAGTAGAGCTTACTAAACCTTCACTTTAGACTGGTCACTTTTCACATATGGATGAATCTTGGAAATTATAGAGGAATTAGAAGAAACATCATTAGAACCTTTGTTCATTACCGTAGGAAGGATTTCTTCTTCTGCTTTAGTTCTGAAACTTCTAACAGCGAGGTCTTAGAATAACGTCTTCATACTTACAGAAATGTATTTGGAATCAGAATTTACTCATGCTTGTGCCTTTCCACATTTCAGGTCTGCAAGTGTACCTGCAGGTTCAAGTGCTGCCTCTGGCAGCAACCGAAGACTTCAACAGACACAAAATCAAGTAGATGAGGTATTGCTCTCAAATATTGAAGACAGTGAGTTTTAAACCAACATGGGAACACTCTGGAAAGAATTCTTTTTAGAAAAAGTACCATAAAAGCATGAGTATAAAGGAAATTTTGACTGTTTCATAGTAACAAATGAGCTAAGCTTCTGAGAAGTCAGTCTCCAGCTGTCATGCTTGTTTTCCTGTGACCAAATCTTGTATCTTAACCACAGACACTCCTCCTGAGAACATCCCTCCAAGAACCACTTTATAAGATACAGTTTGCCACAATTAAAAAAAAAAAAAAGGAAAAAAAAAAGAACCACTTTATTAAATAGGGTAATAAGGATTTTTAAGGATTAAGGATTTAAGGATTTTTAGGATTAGGTTTTAAGGATTTAGGATTAGGTCTATTGATTGTTCAAGCCAAGACCAGTCCCTCTGACCAGATTTTTCATCAGAATGCTTCCTACAGTAGCCTGACGTACTGGTTACCAGGCTTGAGGAAGCCTCTAGAACTCAGTTCCAGTTGTTGCCCATTCATGTACCAAAGGCAGATGCTGGCAAACTGCTCTAGCCCAACAAATCGAAATCTGTGGAATTCTTGAGTCAGAGGACCCTCACAGCATCTTTTGTTCTGCTCTGTATATGCAGACCCACAGTGGAAGACTGTGAGAAATTCAGACTCATATTCTATAGCCCAAAGAGCTGTCAGTGTCCAACAAAGACATCTTGGTCTTTCTGCACTTAGCTGCTTTAAAAAGCAGAGTTAAACTTAGGTTAGATTGCATTATTAAATCATTTGGTAATATTTTGTTCTGATGGTTTTGTTTATGAACTGAATTCTGAAAATTTTACATTTCCATGGTAAGAAACCCATTCTAATTCCATCGTGGATGAAACTTTGGTTTACTCACAAAATCAAACTGGGTCCTTTTTCTTAACCAAAGGAATTTTAAGGAGAGGTGTTTTGTTTTGTTTTAACTGAGGTGAAATTTACATAACATACAATTAGCCATTAACCAGTGGTGTTCGGTGTATTCACAATGTTGTGCAGCCATTACCTCTGTCTAATTTCACTATTTTTGCATCCCCCCCTGAAGAACACCCTGGACACATGTAATCATCACTCCCCGTTCCCCTTTTCTCCCATTCCTGGTAACCTGTAATCGGCTTTGTTTCTATAGATTTGCCTGTTCTGGCTGTATCCTATAAAGGGGACCATGCACCATGTGGCCTTTTGTGTTTGGCTTCTTTCAGTCAGCATAATGTTTTCGCTGTTCATCCATGTTGTAGCATCTGTCAGTACCTCCTTCCTTTTATGGCTGAGTGGTGTTCCATGGTGTGTGTGTATACATAATTCGTTTTTCTTTTCATCTGTGGAGGGGTTTTTGAGTTTCCACCTTTTGACTGTCATGAATAATGCTGCTGCAGACATTCATGGACAAAAACATACGTGTGGACGTATGTTTTTATTTCTCTTGGATATGTATCTAGAAGCAGGAGTGCTGGATTACGTGGTAATTCTGTGTTTCACTTTTTGAGGACCTGCCAAACGTGTCCACAGTGGCCGTGCCAGCCTTCATTCCCTCCCACAGTGTCCGGGGGCTCCTGCTTTTCCACATCCTCACTAACACTTGTTAGCTTCTGTTTTCTCTGCGTGTAGCTGCCCTCCTTAGTGAATATGAAGTATTTCATCGTGGTTTTGGTTTGCATTTCCTTAATGACCAGGAGTGTCGAATATCTTTTCATGTGCTCGTTGATCATTTGTATACATTCTTTGTAGAAATGTCTATTCAAGTCTGTTGCCTGGCTTTTAATTGGGTAGTTTCTCTCCTTGTTGGGGAGTAAGAGTTCCTTACATATATGTATTCTGGATATTAAACCCTTCTTAGATAAATGATTTGCAAATAGTTTCTCTATTCTGTAGATTGTCTTTTCACATCCCTGATAATGTCTTCTGATGCACAAAAGTTTTTAATTTTTAAAAACTTCAATTTATTTTTTCTTTGTTGTTCTTGATTTGGTGTCAAATCCGTGGCCAAATCTGAAGTTTGGAAGATTTGCTCTTATGTTTTCTTCTAAGAGTTTTATAGTTTTTAGCTCTTATTCTTGGGTCATTGATCCATTTTGAGTTAATTTTTATATATAGGGTTAGGTGTAAGGGTCCAGTTTCATTCTTTTGCATATGGCTGTCCCATTGTCCTAGCACCATTTGCTGAAGAGACCATCCTCCTCCTCACAGAAGGATCTTTACAACTTTGTCAAAAATCAGCTGGCCAGAGATGTTGGAGTTGATTTCTGGATCCTCAGTCTGTATGTCTGTCCTTATGCTAGAATCACACCGCCTTGGTTACTGTAGCTTTATTGTAAGGTTTTGAAATTGGAAAGTCTGAGTCCTCCAACATTTTCTTTTTCCGTATTGTTTTGGCTCTTCAGACCCCTTGCAATTCCATAAAAATTTAAGGATTGGCTTTTCTGTTTCTGGGGGCGGGGATGGTAGGGGGGGAAGGACAGTGGAATTTTAGTAGAGATTGTGTCGAAGCTGTGTATCTGTACAGTGCTTTGAGATGTCTTGCCATCGTAATAACAGTAAGTGTTCCCATCTGTGAATATGGGAAGTCTTCCTATTTAATTAGGTCTTCAGTTTCTTTCAGCAATGTCTTGTAGTTTTCAGTGCACAAATCTTTCGCCTCCTTGGTTCAGTTTATCCCCTAGGTATTTTATTCTTTTGGGTGCTACTGTATATGAAGTTATTTTTTTAATTTCCTTTTCATTTCTCTTGTATGGAAACATTCTCTTTTCTGGGTATTGGTCTTGTACCCTGAACCTTTACTGAATTTGTTTATTGACTCTAGTAGTGTGTGGATTCTTTAGGATTTTCCATATATGGAATCATCTGCAAAGAGAGATCATTTTACTTCTTTCTTTCCAATTTGAATGTCTTTTATTCTTTTCTTTGCCTAATTGCTCTGGCCAGAACTTCCAGTACAATGTTGAACAGCATTAGTGAAAGTGGGCATCTTTACTTGTTCTTGATCTTAGGGAGAAACTCTCCACATTGAGCATGGATGTTAGTTGTGGGTTTTTCCATAAATGCCCTTTATCATGTTAGAGAAGTGCCCTTCTATTTCTCATTTGCTGAGTATTTTCATCATGAAAGAGTGAGCCACTCCCTGCTCCCTCCTTTTTAAAAGAAAGTTGTGGCTCAAAGTCATAAAGTGCTGATTTGAAAGAAAATGAGCCCATTTACCTCACTGAGAGTTTTGCTTGTTCTTCCCTTCCCTTATGTGTAACTTGGTGTGATCGGTGTTCATTCAGGTGGTGGACATCATGAGAGTCAATGTGGACAAGGTGTTGGAAAGAGATCAGAAGCTCTCGGAGTTAGACGATCGTGCAGACGCACTGCAGGCAGGAGCGTCCCAGTTTGAAACAAGTGCTGCCAAGTTGAAGAGAAAATACTGGTGGAAGAATTGCAAGGTAATTTTCTTTTAACTGGTTTTACATTAAGTCACCCTCTGTATTCTCAGAGGGTCAACTAAAGCTATGGGTATTGGAGATGAGTTTGACGGCCCATACGTGGAAACCTGGATTAACTCTGAGTCTGAAGCACTGACTGCATGCTCTTTCCTTTCCCCTCAGCTAGGAATGCTCCATGATCCGTGGCTGACCTTAAGAAGCATATAGAATAGGAATGTCCAAAATCAGTCACCAACCTAAGCCCCTTCCAACCCTCCACCCCTACCCTGCAAAGCCCTGAACACATACTGGCAGGAGAGGGCTGGGGTTGGTGGTCCGCTGGCCTGTGGTTCAGCCAGTGGCTCCGGCGTCACAGGATGGGGGGTGCTTGAAAGCCAGTGCGGAAAGCAGCCCACAAGCAGCGTACCCCAAAGCAGATCTTACACATCTCACGGCCCCCTTACTGGTATACAGGTGACACTTTCTGATACACAGGACAAGCTTAGTAGCCCTGCCTTGTGTGAAGAACTTGTATACACAAGCAAATGCCTTTCCAGGGACCACAAGTCATTTGACCATTTTCTAAAAAGCAGATAAATAACTTCATGCCGTAATTGAGAACAGTAAATTTAGGCCTTAAAAACTATGAATTATTTCAGATTATAGTGCACCTTAACTTCTCAGTCCATGACTAGACTATCATACTCTTCAGTGAGCACCCTAATGTCTATGTTTGGAAATGTGAAATGGTCTATGTTTTGTCATAGATGTGGGCGATAGGGATTGTCGTTGTGGTCATCATCATCATCATCATCATCGGTGAGTTCTCCTGCCCTAAGTGCATTTTTCAAGCCTTCTCGGTATGGTCACAGTTGATTTCACATACAAGAACTCAGAATAAAAGTTCCCTCAGAACTGTTAGTTTACTCCAAAGATTTTCATTTTCTTCAGTAAATGTTTTAAATACTTGAGTGTTACTTCATTAAAATCCAGGGGGTTTTTTAAATATAAACATTGATCCTTTGAAGTTAGAGAAAATGTATTCACTTCCACTGACCCATCTGTTTTCACTCTGAGTACATTTTCATCTGCTATTTCCTTTTATAAGAAAGAGTATCGTCTATTGATTAAAAGCATGACTACCTGTTCTCCACCGTGGCTCCATTACCATCCAGCTGCGTGGCCTTGGGTAAGCAGTTTAACGTCCCTGATCCTCAGTTTCTTCACTTGTAAAGTGGGGATGATAATAGTACCTACCCCTTAACGTTTGCTATGAGGACACCACTGCTCAATATATAAGAAGTGCATAGGATGGTACCTGGCGCATAGGAATAATAATAGCTGGGTAAGTAAATAAATCCATACAGACAGGCACGCGCGCACGAAGTATGATTACTGACGTTATTACTGCTGCTACCATATATGATACTGGAACAGGCCATTGACGTTTGTAGCCCAGGACCTGGGAACCATTTGCAAAAGCAGTTCTTCCCATCCCTTCTCTTGACAACGTCCTCAAGCCCTTGACAAAGTGTAGAGAAGCCACTAGTAAGAAGTTGGCCAAATTGAATTGCATATTTAGACTGTGGTGTTCACTGTTAACTCTGGGTTTGCAGTGGGAGACTGAACTGTTGTTTCCTCTGCTTCTTTGTGTCTCCCCTGCTTGTTAGTGTGGAATGTTTCCCCGTGAAGAACCAGTGCAGCCCCAGCCTGCCGTTCAAGAAAGCTCTTCAAGACATTTGACTTAGAACCTGCTATATTCTCGAGCTCGCCTACTGTTCTGTCTAAACTGATTATTTTCTGTTTGTTACCGTAAAGTTTAATTTCTAGGCAACGTGCCTTTGTATTGTCATAAGCACTCCAAACTTGAAGTGCAGCCGCCCGGCCCACACCTGGCCCGGCGCCTTCACAGATTGCCATGCGGCTGACGAAGAGGATCTCTTAACTTCCCGAGTGTTATCACCTCGAAGTCATGTTGTCTTGATGCATTGGTGTTAATTCCAGTTAAGGGAATTTGTTCCAAGTTAGCTATCCTTGCCGTCTGACATCTTCAGAACCACATTCTAAACTTTTAGGTAATCAGATTTCCAGTTTGTGCCTTCCAGAAAGAACACTACTGCCTAACGCAGATCTGTAACCATAACGGGTTGTGCCTTATTTTGCTCTTTAAAGATTCCCTAGAAGAGAACTCTCTACTGTTGATAAGCACTACTGACTCTTGCGCTGTATTTAAAATAAGATGTGGATAAAGAGTTTTGGCTCTTACATTAGATATGAAGATGTTTACCTTCTTGTTACTGTTTTTGTATCACTTGCTAAAAAATATTATTTTAATCAGACATAATAGTCTCTTTAAAACATTTTTATAGAACTATGGCTATGACCAAAGTTTCTATTTTGCCAAAAAGTTGAATGCCCTTAAGTCTGTTCCCAACAGATAAATTCAAAAAAGTGACAAATGGAACTTAAGGTGCCCTTCAGAATTAAAATTATAATCTTGTCTGTGAACCCTCTACATCCTAACAGGCCTTTCTTGCCTTTGGAGTGCTGTGGGTGGTGCAGCTCCCCCTCTGATTCAGCATTTCTCCCACGGGTGAGGGAAGGTTTAAGCTAGACTCTGACCATCTCATCCCTGGAGACTGAGTTCTACCTGGCAGTTCACAAAATGTCAGCTGTGGACTCCAGTAGGTCTCTAATAATTATGTGAGCAACAATTCTGCAGCCTTCAAGTGAGACCATCTGTGAACTGGTCCTTAACTGGCCCATTCCCCATAGACGATAGTCTTTGGGAGTTTGTTTCCTATTTTTATTCATATTCCACTTCCTAAATCTGTCTTCTAAATTATGCTTTCAATTGGGCATTGGTCAGGGGTGGATGACTCTTCCTGGAGGATAGCTAACCAGAGACCCTTTCTTTCTTCAGCGTCATAGACTGCACAAGATGCTGCTTCGGAAATAGCTTTGTCATGAGAGACTTGTTGTGTACGTGAGATGTGCGTCATCCGGGTGGGTGGCTTAAGGATGGGAATTCAGGTAGGCATGCAAACAGGCAAGGAGGCGCTGAGGGACAGATGCAGAGGTATTACTACTCTGGCCCATGGTTACTGGAGGATTCCAAAATTCCTGTTCACATGCTAGCATGGGACTTACAAAGCAACAACAGTTGAGGGGCACCAGGACACGGACTCCCTTTAATATCTGTTCCCCTGGCCTCACTGAGATGCTGCAGTGTTGAAGACACGCCCTGCAGGATGCCCAGCTGAGAGAAGGAAGCGGCGGGCTCAGTGTGGGGCGGGCCGTGAGCCCACCCCTCCGCTCAGGGGCTCTGGCCGGGTCTGACTCTGAAACCTTGGTGCTCCCTCCTTGCCTCGTGCCCAGTCCCATGTAACCCGCTGGCTCCTGCATTAACCCAGGGGCACCTCGCTTGTATCTGTGCATTTAGCTGGGAACTTACCCACTATAATGAACTGAATAAACTGTTTATAAATGGAATTCCGGTATCTGTGTTGCTTGTAGAAGAATAGCTGCGCATGGTCCAAGTCTTAAAAATGGCATGCCCTCACCTTTCACTTAGAAACCCCAAACTCCACTTTCTCTTCTTCTCCCCAGTTCCCTCCCCAAGGACTCATTTCTTAGTCCCCACGATTTCCCTGTACCCTAGCGAACCCAAGCAAACCCTTCCCCTCCTGAAAAGTATAGATGAATGGGGGGCTGGCTTTCTCACGATTACCAGAATGCTCAGGATCTGGCTTTTGAGTTTCTTAAATATATGTTCTTTAAAGAGTGACGTGCAGAGCCGGCCCTGTGTGTGGTAGAATAGCAAGCTGCCTAGGTGGCCCACAGGGAAGGTACGTGGATGGGCAAGAGACTTCTCCAAACATGGCTCTCGTTTTGATTCTGCACATCCTTCCCCTTGAATACACTTCCCTTCTTAATCTACCACGGCTAGGGAACAATATAACAGGGGTGGAAGTAGCCTTTGCTCACAGTTACGATAAAATGCCATTTCCTATAGAAATCTGGGAGAGAAGAGGTTGACTTCTTCCATCGCCTTGACCTTGGAGAGATGGTCACCGCTTTTCTTGTCTGGCATGCTATTGTGTCCTGGCAAAGCACTTACAGTAGAATTGTGCTGTTTGTTCAGGACCTTTATATAATGAGATCTACCTAAATTTTGGTGCCATTTTCAAGATTTTGAAGGAAAATCTACCATAAATGCGCTCTTTTCTGCCTCTCCTGTGAATGTCAGGATTCCTCAGCCAACTTCTCTTTCCATTCTACCCACTCTCCCTGGTCAGTCTTACCTATTCCCACATCTCTAATCATTAATGTACTGATGATTCCTGGCCTAGTGGATACAGGCCTCTCAAACTCAGCAGGGACCAAACAGAAGCAAGCATTCCCCAGCCGCATGCTCCTCTTCCTACTGTTAATAGTGTCTGTTCCAGAAAATGGCACCACCATCCATCCAGGGTCCACGCCAAACAAGTCCACTGGACTTGCTGATATTTTTAGTGACCACACAGATCACACCGAATGTGCTGGAGTGCTACATAATAAACATTCTTCAAATCTCAACGGCTTAAAGTTATTTCCTCACTCATGCCTCATGTCCAATGCCAGGCCACGGGAAGGTTCTATCGTCAGTCCTCAGGGAGGGACTTCCTGTAAACATTTGTTCAGGTTATCAGTGTGGCAGGAAGGGAGCATAAGGAATTGTGCACTGGCTCTCAAGGCTTCCGTCTGGAAGTGGGGTTCAGAGCTCTTCTCATGTTTTACTGGCCAAAACAAGTCACGCGACCCCACCTAACCTCAGAGGTGGCAGGGGACACGTGTCACCGGAAGGAGAAATGTGATGTTTGTGAACATTTGCCTTCCTGATGACAATTTCAGTCAAAGAACGGGGCAAATTCCCCTTGACTCAAAAGTATTTTCGAACGAGGTGTACGTCCTACGTGATGATTCTATATTTGTATCACTAATAGAATGTGTTTTTTAAAGTATGGTGATTTTTTTTTTATTATTATTCATTTTGAGTGAGGATTTGTTTAAAATTGACTAGACTGCTTAAGCGCATTTAAAAATAGCATCCTTGGTGGCGCCTGGCTGGCTCAGTCGGTGGAGCGTGAGACTCCTGATCTCAGGGTGGTGAGTTTGAGCCCTGCGTTGGGTATAGAGATGACTTAAAAAAAAGAAAAATCTTTAAAAAAAAAATAGCATCCTTATTTACAACTAAGCTGCTTTTCCTACTAGCAGGAAATTCAATTTGTAAAACCACAATTTACTAAATAAACCAATTATGGCATAATTATTAGAAAATAATGGATATTCTTTTCTCATCCTTTAAATAGCAAGCTAAGTGCATTTCAAAATCTTCTACTGGTCTTTATACCGTCAAGACCACGGGCCATCCCGTTAACACAAGGGCTTGCCTTTAGCCCAGGCTCTGGATCCTGAGCCTAACTGAATCCTTCCCTCCAGCCATTCCCTGTTGTCTGCAACTCTCCTCCTGCTTCATTCCCTTCTCCCTCTCTGTTGGATCACCCCATCAGACCCTAATCGTGGTCCCCACATCCCTCCCTTGGGCAAACAAACACTTGTTCATAGCCCCACACAGCAAAACCCCTCCCCACAGCTCCCCGTGGTCACTGCCTCACATTGTACTTTTCCTCCAGCCAACACTATTGAGACGTCTTTAACCAAGGTCACCATCTTGGTGAAGCACCACAGAAATTTCTCTGCCCTTGTCTTACTCTGCGCATCACCAGCATTTGATACAGTTAATAGCTCTCCCCTTGAAATATTTCATCTAGCTTCCATAACCCAACATTCTTCTGCTTTTCTTTCAACCCCATCTATGGCTCCTTGTTCTTCACTGGGATGAAGGCCATCTCTGCTTGGCCTCTGAATCTCCACGCCTCTCTCCTCCCCCAGTCTCGGCCTTTGGCTCTTTTCTATTTGCGTTTTCATGTTGACACCATCTCACCCAGGACTGTACTCGAACATAGGGACTCTGGCATCTCCCAAATGTTGGCCATATCTCCATTCCTGGCCTTTCCCCTACGTCCCGTCCCAGGCTGGGAGGTCCAATCACCCACCTGCATGTGTAATGCACTGTTCAAACGTAATGTGTGGGAAACAAGTCTCCATTCTCCCCTCATCAAAACTTACCATCCCCACCTGTCCATCTAAGTTGATGACCCATGACCCGCAGCACTGCTTACACGAAAGACCCAGGAGTCGCCCTTGATCACTCTCTCTTCTCGCAACACACGTTCAACTCATCGGCAAGGTCCTGTGCCCCAGATGCATCCCACGTCCAGTCTCCTCTCACCACCCTTGTGTAGGTGGTGTAGAAGTCTGTGTAGAAGTCTGGCTGATACAGGCCACTACCTTGCTTAGAATCCTCTTCCCACTTTCCATTTTTTAGAAAAAAATCCAAATTGCATTCCCTAATTATAATCTGGCCCTTCCTAACTTCCTGATCTTCCCTAACACCATTCCTCCTCCCTCTGTGCATTCCCCAGGCAAAGTCGACGTTCCTTCTGTTCCTTAACAACACACCTGCTCCGTCAGGGCCTCTGCAGGTGCCTTCTGCCCCCTCCATTGGGTCCAGCCCCCACACAGACGCACACACTCAGGTTTCAATGCGCCTTCTCAGAGAGGCTTCCCTGATCACCAGGTTGATGTGTCTGTTGCCTCCTTCACCCTCTGTCCCAGCCACACTTCATCCTCGTTTCACGCTCCACACAGCACTCTCCACGTTCGGACCTCTACACGCTGGCTTGTGTCCTCCATCTTCATAAAAGGCAGACTCCCAGAATGGAGGGACTTTTGCCACTGCTCTTTCTCAGGGGCCACAATCATCCCGGCCTAGATCATCCACTCAATAAGTATGTGTTGAATGAACGCAGTTCGACAAAACAAAACTTGAGAGGGAGATCTGCCATCATTTGGAAAAAGGAGATGTTTTATCCAATACATGATATGAACAATTGACACACTTCACTCCCCCCCACCCCTTTCTATACAATTCCTTTCATTCATCCAATAAATACTGAAGATTTTTCATGTACCAGGCACTGGAGAGGGAAGGAGCTCTGCACTTCGGATGAGTTGACACACAATCTAAAAAACCTTCAGACTTGATATTTTTTAAAAAGGCCTTAGCTACACCTTCCTTTTCTGCAACCGTGTCGTTTACATACACTTGTCTTCCCCCAGTTGCCAAATCAACCTGTAACTTCAGGAAGACCGGGGAAATGTTTAGAGTCCGTTGTCAAAATTCCGCTTCTGAAACCCGGCTTTGATCTTCCCGAGGCTGCTCTACTGCCAGGGCCTCCAGGGCCTCCGAGCCTCGCGAGCTGGCGGGCGCGAGAGCAGGAAGGTTGAGCAAGACGCAAAAACGGAACCCGACAAGGCGCAGACGAGGCGCTCGGAGGCCCAGTGCTTCTTCCTGCGGCTCGGGACGGGCCCGACCCGCGCCCCAGGGTTGTCCCCCACCCCTGCGCCGCCGGCCCCGGCCACCTGCGCGCCCCGCAGCCGGGTCGCCAGCCCCTCCCGTGGAGGCCGGCTCACCCCGCCCGGGGCCCGCCCCCTCATGATTGGCGGCTCGAGCGCCCTATCCCTGCCGCGCTGGCTCCAGCCGCCCCCGCGGCCCCTTCCCCCCACCCACCCCCTCTCCGGCGCCGTGAAGAGGGCGGAGCACTCGACTCGCGCGGCCTTAATCCCAGCCCCCTCCGGGCCCCTCCGCCCCCCGCCTACGCGCCGGCCTGCCGGGATTGGCCGAGCGCCGCCCTCCGCCCGACCCCCGGCGTTATGTAAGGGGCTCCGAGGCCGTCTCCCCTCCCACTCATCTTCGGTTATGTAACCCGGGCGCCCCGGCGCGGGCCCCGCCCCCTGGCTAATGGGGGCGCGCAGAGCCGGCCGCGGCGGCCAATCGCGAGGCCTGGGGGCGGGGCCGCATCACGTGGCGCGCGGGGGGCGCGGCGCCGGCCACCGCCCGGCACGCGGCGGGCCTCGGGACTGAGTGCGGCCTGGCCCCGCCCGGTGGGGCGAGCGGCGGCGGCGGCGGCGGTGGCGGCTGGTGAGTGCTCTGCCGGGGCGGGAGGTCTCCCCGAGTCCGCCCTCCGCTCTGGACCCGGCGGCCGAGCGGCGCCGGGCCGGCAACCTGGGGCTCCTGAACTTGGCGCTGGAAGTTCCCCCTGCCCGGGTCCAGTTTCTGGGTGCGCGCCACCGGCCGGTGAAGAACCGCGGGTGGGCAGGCCGGCGAATGGGAAAGTCTGGCCGGGGGTCTGTCACAGCCCAGCTTCCGCAGCACATCGCCCGTGTTACTGGACACCTGTCCCCTCTGTACCCCCTCCCCCGGCGCCCCCAGGCTGCTCCCGCGAGCGGAGCCATCCGAGACTGCATGGAGATCCTGCAGAGGAAACTTCGTCCAGGTGACTAGGGATCAGGATCCACGGGCTCCTGATGACCGATCATTTTCCCTAAAGCAATGGCATGGACCAAAATGAGAAATTCTGTCGCTGATTGCAAAGTGAAAAGGAAGCAGGCAACAGACTGAGGGCTGCCGAGCAAAAAAGATGGACCCCTGTGAAGACCTGGAAACGTCCAGCGGTAAATCTCTGGACTCCAGGGGGACCGAACCTCAGGAATTTGAAGGACCACAGGCCTGCGGCTCTGAGGCCCTGGGGAGAGGAAACGAGGAGATGTGGAGCCGGAAATCCCACCTGCAGAGCCCACACGTGGAGAACAGCAACAGGTGACACGGCCTGATTTGTTTGTTGTTCTTCGAAGGCTAGTACAGGGAAAGGGGGGCTTAAGTCGTTTTATTCTTTTATTTGTAAGCCTGAGAAAAAGCTTAGGGGGATACTCAGACAACTTGGAATGAAAAGCTGTGGGAAACTGAAGAATTACCAATAAGTATCAGAAAGATGGAAAGAGTGGTTAAGGGTTTAGCTGAGGGGGGGAGGGTGGCTGCAGTGGGAATGAGAAAGAATGGAAAATGTTTGATGTTTACCAGTTTCTCTGGCCAGGATCCCCCCAAAGAGGAAAATAAACCTGTGAACTAAATGAGTTGATCCATGGGAAGCACTTAGAAAGTTGCTTGGCACGTCATACGCTGTTTAATAAACGTTGGCTGCTCTTATAATGGAACGTGTGAATTGACGGGGTTTTTGTTGTTTTCTTACAGGGAACAGCAAGATCGAAACAGAGTTTCTGAAGAACTTATAATGGTTGTGCAAGAAATGAAAAAATACTTCCCATCGGAGAGACACAGTAAGCCAAGCACCGTGGATGCCCTCAACTATGCCCTTCTCTGCGTACACAGCGTACAAGGTAAATGAGCTGGAGAAAAAGTACAGTCGTGTGAATACATCATTTTGCTCATAAACATCGGCCAAGCCGGAAGAGTTACCAGTGTGGTTCTGGTCCCTGAAATGTTTTGACCTTTTTATGGTGCTTGATGTGAGATGAGCAGATCCACATGGATTCTATTCGTGTCTTGGTTTTGCAAATTAGGAATATCAGGAAAACCTTGTTGGTGTCAGAGTTTAGGAACTGTTCTTTAGTGACTGGCATATTTTGATGATTTGCTGTAGGAGATAGAGTTTAGCACATTTTAAAGACTATTTTTTTTTTTTAAGAATTTTTTTAAATTTATTTGACAGAGATAACAGCGAGAGAGGGAACACAAGCAGGGGGAGTGGGAGAGGGAGAAGCAGGCTTCCCGCAGAGCAGGGAGCCCGATGCGGGGCTCGATCCCAGGACCCTGGGATCATGACCTGAGCCGAAGGCAGATGCTTAACGACTGAGCCACCCAGGCGCCTCAAAGACTGACTTTTTAAAAGATCGTTGTCTTCTAAGGGTATTGGGGAGAAAATACATTTGGCTAAATACAGCTCACCTTTCTCTGTCATCTACATACTGTTTAACAGTGCATTCATGATATATCAGGAACTTGCCAAATTAAAAATGAACAGGTGCAAACACCTTTTCCTTTTTATCCCTGACCTTTCTTTTCCGGGGATCTAATAAAGTACACGTTTTGTTTAGCACAAACTTCTGTGACGTCGCCTACGACACACAGTGCCTGAATACGAAAGTGATGTTTCTGCCATAAACACGTCCCGTGCATGTATTTGGAATTTTAGGTTTCCGTACCTTGTATGGATCTTGCTCCTTGTGACACAGAACATCGGAAAATCCTAAAATCCAAAGGCTTACATCTGTACAACTATCAGTGTTTTAGGTGAAAGAAGAAGAAGATGATCAGGTTTTGAGGCAGACACGCCGAGGTGTCCTCATCCTAAAAAATAAGCCAGCTTCAAGGGTGGTAAAAATGATTTCCTTAAGCTATCGCGGTCACTGGACTACCTGTTTATTTTCCTGTGTTTCTTAGCAAACAGTGGGTTTTTCCAGCCTCTCAGTCAGAGTGGAGCACCTCAAGCAGCTGCGACCGCATACAATCTTGAGGAGCTGGCCACGGCTGCCTCGGGGTACACTTCCAAAAACACAGTAAGAATCCACACGTTTTGCCATATCAACCTGGGTGACTTTTCTTAACAACCTTGTCTAGACGTAGATGTTGAAACCTAATACGCCGGAGTTTCATTAACCAGGATGCGGGGCAAACAATGGAGGTGCGCTGCTGTAGTTTCTCCTGCCCTTGTGGGAGCACAGATGTAAACCCAGGTGGCGGCCCTGGGGCAGTGGTCCGCTGGGCTCCCCTCCCGTGCCGCCCCTGCCTCCTGAGCATCCCCGTGTTCTCTCGAAGTCAGAGAAAAAAACAAATAATAAACTGCGGAGTAACCGCCCTCATTTTATTTTGATCTCTGAATCGTTAATTTGTATTTATATCATTCTTAGTTCCAATACCTACTCCTTCAAGTTCTAACAACTGGATTTTATAGAACCAGGTGAGTTGAGATGCTGTCATTTTTCTGTCAAATTTGGGAAGAGACATGTAGTGGATCTTTTTTGAATGTCTTCATGTTGGCAGAATCATTCAGCCTCATGCCTTACTGATGTGCTGGAGATTACTTAGTTTTATGTTTAGACCCCATACATAAAGATCTGGTAATATCGGAACAGGAGCTGTCCCTAAGATCACAGGAGTATTTGTTTTACTGACTGGGGTGTTTATGGGACTCTGGTGGGTGTGGCGGAGATGGAAGAAACAAGGAAAGGTTTAAGAAAACATCTTCCCTTTTAAGATCTTCCAGATAAAACTAGAGAGAGGAGGACATGCCGATGCTAGCAGACACAAACAGTGGCCGATTGTAAATGTTACTGCTGTTTGATGGAACAAATATGAAAAATGATTCTTACGTAGCGAGGTTTGTCAAAGACAGTGTCTTGAAAGAGGAGACTCTTGAGCTTACTCTTGAAGCCTAGAGTTATGCATTGGTCAAGAGAAGACAGTCCCCTCAGTTTGCAAACGAGAAGGAATCGGAAATGGATGCGCCGTGTGCACGTTTAGTCGATGTAGGATGAGCTGGTATATTGTTTGGTATAGAAACGAGACCTTCAGAAGATAAAATGCAGATTTTATGACAATCATTAAGGCATATGTTGGAGACTCATGCTGCCTTTGCAGGATATGTGCATGTGTTGATCACATTAGGAGTCTAGAAGAAATTTACCTTTCAGGGAATATTGTTCGCAAGTGTCTCAATATTTGCATTTATTTTAAATGTTTTTCATAGGATACCTTTGTGGCAGTGTTTTCATTTCTGTCTGGAAGGTTAGTGCACATTTCTGAACAGGCTGCTTCAATCCTGAACTGTAAGAAAGACTTCCTGGAGTCTTCGCACTTTGTGGAACTGCTTGCTCCCCAAGATGTGAGGGTTTTCTGCGCACACACTGCCCTCGCTCAGCTTCCCCTCTGGAGCAACTGGACCCAAAGAGGTAATGGGACCCATGCTCAGATGTTTACCTTGCCTCATAAAGATCAGGTTCATTCTTTCAGAAAGAGTACCAAAATTAATGCATTGTTTTGAACCTGCAAACTATATGGTTTTTCTTATTTCTTTATTTAAAAAATCAGAATGTGGGGCGCCTGGCTGGCTCATTTGGTGGAACATGCAACTCTTGACCTTGGGGTCGTGAGTTCAAGCCCCACATTGGGTGTAGAGATTACTAAAAATAAATAAAACTTTAAAAAAAAAACCAAGATAAGTAAATAAGTAAATAAAAAGTCAGACGGTGTTGGAAACAGCATTTTAAATGCTTCTAATGACAAAGTTCCAATTAATATGCTCTCATTTATTCAAGTTAATTTTATAGGTTCTATATCATAAATATGTTTTCTTTTAAACATGGTTTGACTGCCTGTGTACCATACAGCAGGTTAATTGTTACAAAGATTCTGTTTTCTCTAAGTTAATAAAATTAAACATTTTCCCTCTTACATTGACTTCATTATTTCTTTGCTTGGCTTTGGAGATAAACTTCTCATGGTTAGCTCCCCTTCGAGTTTCGCTTCTATACCTAAAAGTTCATGAATCTCACTACTTTTTCTTCTGAAATGCTTATTTCCCTGAACTGGGGATGCCCAGTCCTAGTTTCCTTTGTGACTTTCTGACCTGTATTATTTTTTAAATAATTCATTATTTCTTTTTAAAGTCACCCTCTATTACTTATTTCATCTTCTTTGTGAGGCGTGTCTTAAAGAGCTTAGTGTACATCAACCTTTTTCTTTTGAGTCTAAGCCCTTTTCTCTAATTTTTTTGAAGTTTATATTTGATTTGTTTATTATGGTAAAAAAAAAAAACCCCATTAGCAAAACGTACCATCTTAAACCATTTTTAAGTGTACAGTTTAGTAGTGTTAGGTGCATTGGCGTGGATGTGAAACACGCCTCCAGAACCTTCTCATCTTGCAAACCCAGGGCCCTGTGGCCATTCTGACTTTCTAACACAGGATGTGGCCCAGTGGGAACAGTCTCGCACGCTGCTTTTGTCCACGGCAGACCTTTGCCCCATCTTCTGGGCACAGGTTGTGGACACTTCGAAATGCACACCCGTCGTCTTTGCTTGTTTCCAGCTCTCTCCTGTTCCCCTCACTCAAAGACATTGATTTCATTTCTCTTCCTCTTTCTCAAACACGTATTTTCAACCTTTAACTGGCCATGTTTGTTTCTCTGCTTTTATCGATCCTTCATCCACTCCATAGACATTTATTCGGCAAGCACTGTGGGCCGGGAGCTGTTCCGGGTGCTGAGATGCAGCCAGGAGCAGGGCAGGTGCACCATGGCGCTGTCAGCCTGTCGTCACGCCTCCCCAGCCACCTTCCCTCCAGCGTCGCCTCTGTGGTCTCTGTCTGCTCTTTTCAGCCATGTTATCCTTGCAAATGAGTTATTGCCGTGAGATTTCTCCTCCATGTAAAAACGTAACATACCCTGAAATCGCTGTCTTTGGGACCTAACTATTGACTTCCTCCTTAAAGAGATGGCTACTGCTGACTCTGGGCTTTGCCTCACACACCTCAGTGATTCCAGCTCTTCTTGAGCCATTTCTGGGCTGGGCCCATGCTGCCTCCTTCTGCCCTTCCTTTGAGCTCATAGAACACGAAGGGGACGTAGGAAGCTCTAAACTCAGCAGTTGTCAGCCTCCGGCCTGGCATCAGAGCACATTTCCACTTTGGTTCGTTGTGCAGACCTCCCAGAAGGATCTGACCACTGTTTCTTTAGAGCGCACTTCCAAAAACAAGGATTCACCCGCTACAGCCGAGGCATGGAACTGATAAGGGGCTCGTGTCTGTCGTTTGAGATCCACGGTCCGGCTCTCCGTCCTGCACGACCCCTAGAGAGCGCAGTTGAATTCAGGTGCCTACTGTCCTCGCGCAGAGTGCACGCAAGCCGCCCTTCTGGGAGAGTTGCGGTATTTCCTATGTGCAAAGGATTTTAAACAAGGAAATCTGAAGATCTGAGTTTTAAATTGAGTTTTGTCCCTTCATGAACCAAGGGGGCCATTTAGCCTCTCACTGTAAAATCATTGTCTTGTCCTACCAGCCTGCTAACACAGGGCTGCTGTGAGAAGCAAGCACGCCAATGGTTGGGAAAGCCCTGTAGATGTCTGGAACGTTCTGCAACATTAGGGGTCCTCTTCATTGCTACCATTCTATTGAACGGATACTGTTTGCCAGGGACTTTTCTTCTTGTTTCAGTGGATTGACTCATTTAATCTTCACAAAAACCTTATGAGGTGTAGATACCATCACTGTCCCCAGTTGACAGATGACGTAGCTGTGTTAGTTTGGGTCTGCTGAGCAACAAATGCCAAGGTGGGGTCAGCTGTGTAGGCGACTTGCTGTGGGGGGTGTGGGAGGAGGGAAGCTGCGCCTTCAGCCCACAGCGCACGTCTGACACCCGTGGAGGGGGCGGAGACAAGGGGGACTGGGAGGAGATGGCTTGGCCTGCCGCACAGCTCAAAAGACAGCTTGGCCAGGCAAGTCAAAGGGAAGTCCAAGCCACGGTCATGCACCGGAGGAGCCCTGCGTCTCCATGGAACGGTCCTGTCCCAGTACCGCTCCGTGCGCGGACACTGGGCAGGAACAGCCACCCGACACGGGGCTCTGGGGCAGCAGCTGTGGCCTGTGGTCAGTTACGTCCCCTGAACCTGGGAGCCATGCCCCTTCTTGGCCACTGCGATCACTGAGGCCCAGAGCTAAGGGACTCACCCACATGCTACCGGTAGGCGTGGAGCCTGGCGGTGTGAGTCCAGGGTCATTGCTCGGAACTGCTGCCCCTCCTGACCACGTCCATCCCTGCAGCTGGAACCGTCAATCAGGACATCTGTAGTCACACAGAGGTGGGCGTTTGAAAGCCACACCAAGGAATCAGTCCTGTTCATAAAAATCATCTCAAAAAATTAGGAATATTTTTGAAACATCCTTACCTTGCCGTCATTCCTCCGCAAACTTATCTGAGCCTTTCCTGGGTGGTTTTGATATCAGGGCCGTCGGGTATCGTAGAGCAATGAATTCGGTGAGCTGACCTTGTCAGCTCGGTTCTTTGTCACAGACGAGCTGTATGAACAGTCTTCTGGTTTCAGAATTCCAGGACTGTGACTTCCATAGTGTTCTGAATTCTGACAGTTGGATCACTGGTGCCTTTGAAACTGGAGTTTTTGCATTTTTTTGTTTGTTTTTTGTTTTGTTTTTTTTTAATCATGTACGTTTTCCCTGATCGTTCAAAAGCCCATTTTCTGACTCTTCCCGTGATCCTCTCCTCAGAAGTGCAAAGACCTGGACCACGTGCCCTGTCTTGGTTCTTCAGAGCTCTCATTGTTTATGCTCCTTCAGTGTATGTTTGTAAAACAAATCCTTGGTTTTAAGCATTTCCTTGGTTCCTATAACTGAGGATTTTTCACCCCAGTGAGCAAATGCCCAAAAGATCAATTCAAGGAGCTCTAAGCAGAGGAGAGCTAAACAGTCAACAAACACTTGGGAAAAAAAGGTTCAGCCCCTTGATCAAGGCAAACTTAAAACATTTCTGAATTGCCACTTCACAAATCAATAAAACTGATGCCAAAATCAATAAAACTGGTTCAACCATTGGCATGACGGTTGTGACAACATGTCGTCAGAGACCCAGTTGGTACGATCTTCTGTAGATCAGTGTGGCACTCCACAGTGAGAGTCCTAAGACGATCATGTCATTTCCGGGGCCCAACTCTGGGGACTTTGTCCAGGGAAAGAAAAAAGTGAAAGACATTTGTGAATCACATACCTCTATGCTGTAAGTTGTCCAGATCGATTTCTGAGGCGTGTCCAGACTGTCACAGTGAAATAGAATATGCCCACCAAAGTAACTGCATCCCGGGATTATTGCCTTGACCTTGGAAGGAGGAGCTTCAGCAGTTCGATGAGGGAAAGCCCTCAGTCCTACATATCCTCCCTGCCTCCCTGAAGGTCGCTGCTGGAGTACCAGAGCCCCCTGGAAAATACCGGATGCGACTCGATCTCAAAGTGAGGGCAGGAGCCCTGTTTGAATCAAGACTATCTCCTTCTTTGAAAGAATAGTTTCTCGTTTGTTTGGGGATAGTTGGAGTTTGTCTCGCTAAGGGGAGCTGCTCTGGCCTACTGCTCTCGGAGAGGGCGATTAACACTTTTGTCTCTGTTTCCCGCAGCGTCTCAGTACAAATTCGCTCCGGTGAAATCCTTTTTCTGCAGGATCCGGTAAGTCTAGGGGTTTGTGGGGGCCAGGAACGGTGGGTTACGCTCTGATTTTATTTGGCCCTTTTCACATTCTTTTGTATTCAGCTAGCACTGGGTTCTTGCCACAAGAAGTTTTTATTTTGATTGAGGAGAAGAGCGGACACTCACAAAATGACTAGATAATAATGCAGTCAGGAAAAAGAACAGAGAGATCATTCTTAGCCTGGGGGTGCTCGCTCTCTCGTGCTCTCCGTCTCTCTAAGAACCGCTGGATGATGTTAATTACACTTTCAAATGCCCATTGTTTGGGGATCTTTTGTTTTTTGTTTGGTTTGGTCTCATTTAAAATTAATTTTTGAAATTTTACTTTATTTTTTTAATTTTTTTTTTTTAAGCGAGCTCTGTGCCTAACATAGGGCTTGAACTCATGACCTGGAGATCAAGAGTCACACGCTCTACCGGCGCCAGTCAGGCGCCCCTAACTTCTTAAATTTTAAATAACTAAAGAAAGTAAGATAGATATGTCTCAGAGGATTTAAAAGGCTCAGACATAGTGAACTGGAAGAAAACAACAGACCAAAATTTTAATCATAGTTGATTTCTGATAGGATTTATTAGTGATTTTTTTTTTCTCTCCTGAATTTATGGTGATGTGTTCATGTTACTTTTGCAATAAGAAGAAAATGTGGTTCAGTGACGTCACGATTGCCAGCATGAGCGTTGAAGTTAGTAAAGGCTCCAGATGTGGAAAACTCAAGAGAAGGCTCCTTTCCTTGTAATGGATCAGTCAGTACTCCATGGGGTTGGGGGCCTTGAGCTAAGTGTGTTCCAGTGCTTGGGGAGGGCTACCCCGGGGAAAGGGTGCAGGAGGGAAGGCTGTGTTGGTTCATTCATTCCTTCCCGGATGAGTTGTTATGAAGCTTGTAGAACAGTGCTTGCCACGGACAAAGTACTGTTTGTGTTTGTTTTGCTAATAGATATATTTGTGTGCCTTCTCTGAGCCAGGCAAGGTTACAGGTGCAAAGTTCTTGCCCTCGTGGACCTCCCGTTCTATGTGTGGGGGGAGACCAATAACAAACAGGTACCTATGTATGTGTCCTCTGGTAGTAAGTTCTGTGTGGATCAGTGAAGGAGAGTGAGAGAATTCTGGGCAGGGGAGAGATTGCTAGTGTGTTCAGGGTGGTTAAGGAATGTTCTCTAACAAGAAGCCTGATTTGAGCCAGAGCCTGAAAGAGGTGAGGGAGCGAGCCATACCTCTATCTGAGGGAAGAGTGTTCGAGACAAGTGCAAAGGCCCTGGGGCAGAGCATGCTTGGCTTGTGGGGGTAGTAACAAGGAAGCTAACGTGGCTGGAGCAGAGAGTGGAAGGAGATGAAGAAACAGGGACCAGACTGTCGGGAGCTTTGATTTCTGAAGGAAATGTTTTGTTCAGGTTAAGCATTTATTTGAAAACTTTACTATCGGAATTTGCAAAATAACATGGAAGTCGAAGCAATAGTACAGTGAACTGGTATGCACTCACCGTTCAGCTTCAGTAACATTAACCCGTGGCCAGTCTTCTGTCATCTCTGCCACCGCCTGCACCTCAGCCCACCCTCCCCGTGATCCTGAAGCAGATCTCAGACCGTGTATCATTTCCTCCATCAGCATTTCAGAGTGTGAGCTAAAATATAGGGTTCTCGTTCATCTCCGTGATGCTCAAGGGGTCCCGTCTGTGGCCAGCAGGAAGCCCTTCAGGTTAGCTCCGGTGCCGTGTGAGGGCACCCCTGTGGTCGCTGACAGCTGCCTTTGCTTCGGGCACAGTGGCCCAGGCCCCGCCTAGACGTTTCCTACCTCAGACGTGGAGTCCATCATTTCTCCAGCCACCCCTCATTCCTTGTGGCGGGAAATGGCATTACCGTATGGAGACCAAGCAGCCTCCTCCTGGCTTCTGGGAATCCTCAGTGGACAAAGATAGAACAGTTTCATTTTTCAGAAGGACGAGAGCTGGCATGAAAGGACCGCGCTGGGCGCTGGGCTGGAGAAGGTGCAGGATCGACAGTCAGCAGGAAGGGCTGTCACCCCAGGCGGCGGTGGCAGGAAGACGTGGAAATATTCTGGATGTTTTGGGGTATTCTGGATATTTGTGTACAGGAGAGTTATCGGAGTTCATTGATGGACTAGTTTTGGGGGTGAAATAAAGGATTCGGCAAGGGTGACACAGGGGTCCCTGACTCCAGTGGCCCTTTACTGGGGGCAAAGGAAACCAGGAGAGCCGCCTCCCGGAGGGAGGAGGGGAAGAGTCCGGCGCCTGGTTTTAGACAAGTTGATTCGCCCTAGCTGTTGGAAATCTAACTTGCAGGGTTGACTCGGCGTTCGTCCGTGGCTCTGGAGTTCAGGGAGAAGGTAGAGACAGATGCTGGAGACGGGTCCTCAGGTGGTCAGCGCGGACAGGACATGGAGAAGCCGGGGACGGGATGAGCCTGGGAGCCGCGTGCACAGAAACAGGAGGGAGTGGGAGACACAGCCCAGCTCGTGGGTCAGTGTCAGGCCGCTGTCTTTTCTCAGTGGCAGAAGTGGGGTCACGGTTGAGAGTGGAGGCACCAGAGTCTGCAGAGAGGCAAGGAAGCGAGGTGGGGGTGGGAACGCCAGGGCACGTGGCCATGGAGCTTCTAGGCAGCTAAAGACCCCCTGACATCCCTTCGGACAAGGGTGGGAGAGGCGAGGTGTGACTCGTAGAAACGGGGGAGTATGGATTTGGTTGTGCGCACGTTGACACTCAGGTGACCATGGTGTATCCAAGGAGAAATGTCCTCCGGGCAGCTGGAGCTCTAACACAGGGTGAAAGCCTGAGAGTTGAGCCGCCCCTGCCCAGGGAGGTGCCCCACACCCGGGGCTGGGGCTCGCCGAGCAGGTTCTAGCCCTGCTCTCCTGCTCAGGCAGGCATGTAAGGAGTGGTTCCCCACACACAGGGTCCTCTGCCCATCCAGGTAGTAGCTGAAGCTATGAGACTCAGTCAGTCCCCTGAGAGAGTGTAGGTCGGGACAGTGGATCCCTGGCTTCGGGGGCATGATCACAGGGAACCCTGATTTCTGTCATGTGGTACTTGGTTTAGACACGTGAGATAAGACAGGTAGGGAAGTCACACCGGGAAGTTATGGTTTGGGTGAAAAGAAGAGTCATGGGATGGCTAGTTGCATTTTTAACCCCACTAAACTGGTTCTCCACAAAACCTCTTTTTCATTGAATAATGAACGAGTGTGATTATCCTTGGGTATCAAAAATGTAAACTAACGTTTCTTTTTAAAATAAACACGTTTAAACATTTTATATTTGGATAGGTCCCTCTCGGAAATCAAGAAGGCATCTCTCCTGGCCTTGTTTCACGTTGGGCTCCCTGAATGCATCAGGACTGGTTACTCATCCTTTCTGTGCTTTTCAGGGGAGGCCAAGACACAGAGCAAGAAAAGCATTACTATCCATTCCGGATTATCCCGTATCTGATGTATGTACGTAGCTCCACCCAGCTGGAATCTGAGCCCTGCTGTCTCACCCTGGTGGAGAAGATTCACTCTGGTTTTGAAGGTAAGTCAGGAGTATCTGCTTTCAGATCAAACGTAACGGGACAGCACCTCAGGTAGGAACGTGTGAAAGCCTGTTTACGGCAGCCACAGAACCAGAAAAGAGTGCTGGAGGCTTCATGTTGGCCCTGAACTCTTGGGCATTTAGGACTGATCTGCCCTGATATTTCCTGAGCCTGACTTCTTGGTGGTTGTCTCCTTCAAGGTCAGCACAGCCCTAAGGGTCTAAGCATAAACTTGGCCACCAATACCTGGTCCTCTGATCCATTCTGTACTGGTGACTGTCATGTGGCCTTTGGCTTCTGCCCTGTATGAAACAAGAACATGGAACTTGGAGGCGCCTTGGTGGCTCAGTCGGTTAAGCACCTGACCGTTGGTTTCAGCTCAGGTCATGATCTTACCAGTTGTGGGATGGAGCCCTGATTCGGGCTCCATGCCTAGTGGGGAGTCTGCTTGAGATTCCCTCCATCTGCCTCTCCCCCTACGCACACACTCTCAATAAATAAATCTTCAAAAAAAAAAAAAAGAGAGAGCATGAAAATTGTTGCACAGTGAGGTCACAAGAATGAATTTATATTTTTTACGTGTCCAGAAAGCCCTTGAGTGAAAACTGTAGTTTCTAATCTCGGGTGGCAGAACTACATTTCCAAATTCATGGGTTAATACACAAGCAGCTTCCGTTTGTTATTTGAAATTAAAGTCAGTTCTGCTGTAATCTGACTGTGCTTTCCTAAAAATTACCATCCTATGCAAAAAGACAAAAAAAACCCACACCAAAACATACACACACATACACACACACACACACACACAAAACCACAGGGCTTAAGGGAAAAAAGTGTTTAGGGGCACAACACTCAAAAACTTAACCACACATTAAAAATAAACCAGGAAGCTAATAAAAACAGTAACACAGCTTTACACACGTTAACTTGTTAAGAAATACACAGATGCTACAGTACATGAGGCGCCTCACCTTGGAGAAGCCCCGTGGTGGCTCCCGGATGTGGGTGGTGGCAGGCCTGCTCCTCCTCAGTTAACTGTGAGGGTGGAAGGGGGTGCTGTCTGAAGTCAGGTGTGGACAGGCGTGTCTCCTGTCACAACACGCGGCGCACAGAGGTAGCCCTAGATGAGGTGTGTGCGTGTGTTTGTGTATTCTTGGGGGACTCCATTCACCTCTCGTCTCTCGCAGATGAAACTGCATGATTTCAAATCACTGCGTTTTCAAAGTGAGCTACAGTCGAACTGACCATACCAGTTTTCTGACACAGATTTAAAATATCCGCATCATAACTGACACCAAATCCACTGTACTTAGTTATACACCACCACCAAATACCACCAGGCTTGCCAGGCCTGACCTTTCATTTCCTCCAGCTTTGACTGTGGGATTGTGATGAGTAAACTTTCTGTACACACAAACTCTATTTAAAATTAACTTCAGTAGGCATCGCGTTTTGACCTACTCGAAATGTAGTTAATAATGACAAGTATTGTAATTTAACCGTAGCCTTGGCTTCTTGAAGGCCAGGGCCCTAAGTGAGATTTCTTCCATTTCATATAGAGATACTGCTTCCTCTTTAATGTAAGTGCTCAGTTAAGTGGATGACTGATTAGATATTTGCCTTTAGGTGAGTCTTTCTGTTTTTTCATAGCTCCTCGAATCCCGGCAGATAAAAGAATTTTTACCACAACACACACCCCAGGCTGTGTCTTTCTTGAAATAGATGAAAGGTAAGTGCTTCTTTAAGCCTGAAAGAAATTTTGTTTCTGAAAATAGATAGAAATGTGAGAACATTTACATTATGTTTACATACCTCTCCATTATGAAATGGACATCTATCCATTTGCCCCTTTGATTTGTTAGCTTGAAGTTTGTGTTTTAATATACGTATCTTGCATATTATATGTCTACAGTTTACAAATTATATTTGATTTCACAGTAGTCTGCTTTAGGTAAGTCAGGAATTATTGTTCCACATTACACGAGAGAACAGTGAACCTGGATATGGTATGTGATTGTCCTCTAAAGGAGACCAAAACTCTAACTCTGGCCTCGAGCTCCTGTGTGAGCATGATTTCCACCAGACAAGTGCTTTGCTAAACACCTTTTGATGAAATGTTTATGAGTCTGAAATTAGGGGGAGAAACAAAAGGAAAATAAGAACAGATTTTTTTTTTTTCTGGTAAAGCTAAGTTTACTTAATTTAAAGCATCATCAGTCATTTTGAACTTACGTCTTTTCTACTTTTTTTGGTATTAAAGTGCTCTTACTTAAAGAATAGTGATATAGGTAGTAGTCGTTGCTTATTGTTGTTTTTTAATACTTCTATTTGGAAAAATAAACATTGTTATCCCCTGGTGAGTACCCTCTGTTTTCCCCCCGTTTATTTATGAATTTTACTTATTTGTGAAATCTGGAAATCGGGAGCTCAGTGCACCATGGCGCACGTAATTGTAAAGCAACAAAGTCAAAACGGCTGGCACAGTTATGGTAGCTCTTAATTTTGATTTTTAAAAAATCTTAACATCTGAAAATAGGTTTATTTTATAATGGATACCCTGAATCTAAACAATAATTGGTGAAATACTTTGTATCATGGAGTCTGTAGAGAGTAAGAACATTTAGCTGCAGATACCATGGTAATGGCTCAAATTTATTGCATTATTGATAATTTAATAATTGATAATTTATTGCATTATCACAAACATTACTGCAATGTTTGTGAATTTGTACACACAGATAACATTTATGGATTCAGTTCTTTCTAAGTCATCCTGCAGGCTCTGCATTCACGGCTCTCCCTAAAGCTTTATCCTGCACATGTCTTTGTGTTCCTGGTGTCTATTTGTTATTACCTTCTAGGAGATACTGTTTCTGTGTGGTTTTAATTGTGCTGGATAAATTTGTAGCCTGCTTTATTAACACCATAAGCATTCTTCTGCATTATGATGGGATCTTTGTAAACTTTTTAAATGGAGAAGGGGGGGCAATCAGAGACCCCTGAGGAACTTGCTAAAAATACAGATTCCTGGTCTTACCCCAGAAACTCTGATTTAGTTAGCCTGTGGTGAGCCTGTGAATCGTTTTCCAGCAAGTTCCATAGGCGACTTCGACACAACATGTCCAATGCCCAGCATTTCTTAAATTGTGGAACCGTTTCCCCATGGTATGGGCACTGAGGTGGTTTGCTGCTTTTATAAATGCTGGAATGACATCTTTTGCATACCTTTTTTTTTTTCATATTTAGAATTAAGTAAAAAAGTATCGTTTAAAGTGTATAAAGTCTGAAAATTACTTGTTGCATGTAACGTGCTGTGTGTGCTGTGTCTCTACCCCAGAGCGGTGCCTCTGCTGGGTTACCTACCTCAGGATCTGATGGGAACGTCTGTCTTAGCGTATCTGCACCCAGAAGATCGTTCTCTCATGCTTGCCGTACACCAAAAAGGTAAGGACTCGCTTCTTTATAGGAGGAAGTTTTTGTGTAACCACTCATCCCCTCTAATTCTTTATTTCATTTCTTGTTAGATCTTCTCATAAGCTCTTAATCACTAGAGCTCAACCTTTAACAGGTGAGCACTGTGTTGAAGCTGCTAAAACAATTTTTTTTTCTATTTTGACATCTGAAAAACTTACAAATAAATGCCTAGAAAAAGACATCTGCAGTAAATATCTGCATTAAATAAATTCTAATCTCGTCATATTATCTTATATAGTCTTGAAGTATGCAGGCCACCCTCCCTTTGAACACTCACCCATTCGATTTTGTACTCAAAATGGAGATTACATCATCTTGGACTCCAGCTGGTCCAGCTTTGTGAACCCATGGAGCCGGAAGGTATCGTTCATCATTGGTCGGCATAAAGTTCGAACGTAAGTCAGTCAGTGTTCATGGTTTTAGAAGAACGTTTTTACCAAATAGTATTCTTCCACCTACTGCCTCCCTTTGACTCAACTGATACATAAACCAAATAAAGCACAGATTTTTTTTTTTTAAGTGCTTTTGGGAGGGAGTTTTGCAGTGTGTGTCAAGAACCTTGAAAGATTTCTACCTCTTTGACCTCATGATTCCCTTATGGAAACAGTCTACGGAAATAGGCCTAAATACAGAAGAGCTTCATAAAGAAAAGACATGTTGTCACCATTGTTCAATCATAATGGCAGACTTAGAGTAGCTTATATGTTGATCATTAAGTTAAGTTCTAGACTATTTGTTTGACACGTCGTATTATTGGTCAAAGGAAATTTTTGCAAAGATTATATAACATGAGAAATTGATATATATTCGATTTAAAAAGCAGCATACAAAATTGTTTATACCATATGAATATAAATGTGTTCGGATGACACACAAACACTGTGAAGTAGGAAAAAGAAGAAAGGAAATAAAATACAAATTTTGGCTATGTTTAGGTAATGGGATGAGGGTTGGTTTGTTTTGGGGTTTTTTTGTCTTTTCTGAATTTTAAAGTTCTCTATAGTGACACATAAAACTTTTTATATCAGCTTCTGCTGTCAAATTCCACTTATATGTGTCCATTGTATCAAATCTTTATTTTTAAAAATTAGATGCTTTAGCTGTTATTTTCCTGCCAACACGGCTGACTCTAGCCTGTTTGATTACTGCTACCGTCCATGTAACAGAACCTTGTGAAATGAATCTGGAACAACCTGGCCTGCTACTCTTGTAGCCTAAAATACTCCCAGTCCCTTGACTTTTTGGTTTAAAATTTAAAATTGACCTGTAGGTTTCTCAGCTGGGCCATAGATTCCCCTGTGGTAATGTTTTGGTTTTTTTTTTTTAAGCATGGGAATTTTACTTAACTCTTTTAGGATCATGCTGAGATTGAGACATTATGTCTTTTCTGTTTTGTTTTACAGTTTTGTAAGTGTAAAACTGAGAACAGTAGGTCTACCAGTAAGACTTCTTTTGTCATATTTTAATACTATAATAGAGGATACCTAGCCATGGTGAGAAACGGTCCCAAGGTCCTCCTATGTCTTTGTGCTCTGGGGTTTGGCCTCTCAGCAGAGGAGGTCTGGAACCCTAATGGGAGAAATGGGCTCCTTGCTGCCTTAACTCAAGAGACCAATTTGTACTAGAAAACTAATACAGTAATAAGTAGGATAAGAAATATGACTACCAATTCAGTGTTATTCGTGTTGGTCAGAAAGGACTTTTTTTTCTGGTAGGGAAATCTGTGGGGAAATGAAAATAAAATCAGGTGGTTGCTTAGTATGACTATGGGAAAACCCCAGAGCAAGTATGATTGCTTTCATGAGGTGTCCCTCTGGGTGTCTGTCCATCGGTCTGCGTGCCTTCCCTGTCAGTGCCAGACCCATGTCCTAGATGCTTCAAGTGCCCTTTCAGTTTGATTATATAACGTATGAAATTAACTGATAAGTACTCACAGTGTTTGCAGTTTAAAAAAAAATTATAAATTATACCAGCATTTGCATCTCAATTTCCAGGATGATGTGAAGGAAAAACTTAGAGTCTAGTAAGTGTTCATCACTCTTGTAAAATAATCATCCATTATATTTATACAACTGTTTTAACGAGGACTTATGGGTCACCTGCTATGCCGGGCATTGTGCTAGACCCTGAGACTAAGATGGTAGACCACACAGACAGCGTCTCCACTGTCCTGCGGCCCACAGTGCAGTGGGAGAGCCAGGACCTAGAAATGGCAGAGCTCTTCCTGACTACTCTTATGACACTGCTAATATCCTGTGGGTTTTTTGATAATTGTTTCTTTGGGAAAGTATGTTTTTAGGGAACTGGGTTGTGTGTTTAAGTTGTGAGAAACAGCAGGATGGCAGAATGGAAAAGGGAAGGCACTGGCTTTGGAGTCAGGCATGTAGATTCATACCCTGACTGCTGCTTCTCAGGTATGAGAGTCAGCAAGTAACCCATCCTCTCTGGCATCATGATAATTCCTGCTTCATAGGGCTGGGAGGACTCAGGCGATGACATGTCTGACTCAGTGTATCACGTTAATAGTACTTGAGTTACTGAGGTGCTGAGAGGCAGTACATTGTGGTGGCAAAAGTGCACTCTGAAGCCTAGACGCTGGTCCCTTCATGAATACCTGCTTAGGCTTTACCAGCTAGGTGACTTTGAGAAGTTTTCAACTCCGGTGAAGGAGGTAATACTTGCTAGAGCACTTGGGACGGTGCCTGGCACATTGTAAGGATTTAAAAAATGTTATTCTTGCTGTATGTTGTAAAAGCGGCATGTTTCCTGTCACATAGAAGGTCCTAAATGAACATCATTTCCTTCTCTTCTTTGTGATGTTTTCTGAGGACACATCTGCCTCCCACTGTGTTCAGGTAGTAGTTTTGAAACGCTCTAGTGTAAACAAGACTGCAGGTTGTGACAGCCACATTTTCACCAATAGTTGGGTTGCTGAAGTGATTAGGTATATTAAACATTAAATGTTGTTTGGCGGACCTAGGGTCTTAAAATTTCTACAATAGGTTACTCAGTTAATGTTAAATTTTGAGACCAGTAGTTGTTGAAGATATCTTGGTAGCTAAGGAGGTTACTCGTCACTGATTTTAGATCTCTACAAAAACAGTGCTGACACAGATGTTGAAAGATTAGAGCTCTAGACGATCCAAAGAAGCCCCTTAATGTCTTAGTATTTTTTCTGCCTCCACAGATGGGATTTAGGTTTATATTTTCTTTTTTTTTTTATAAATCTTTTTTTTTTTTAAGATTTTATTTTATTTGACAGAGAGACAGCAAGAGAGGGAATACAAGCAGGGGGAGTGGTAGAGGGAGAAGCAGGCTTCTGCAGAGCAGGGAGCCCAAAGCGGGGCTTGATCCCAGGACCCTGGGATCATGACCTGAGCCGAAGGCAGTCGCTTATCCACTGAGCCACCCAGGCGCCCTAGGTTTTTATTTCCTATTTGAAGTCAAAGAGTTGCTTTGTAGAAGTATAGATTTATTATTTGAACATTCTGTTTAAAATTCACTTTAGACTTTATTGTAAGTTTTGAATTGCCTGACTCCATCTTGCACTTGGCACTTTGTAGGAGTCCACTGAATGAGGATGTTTTTGCTACCAGAAAAAGAAAGACGAACAGTAATGACAAAGACATAACAGAATTACAAGAACAAATTCACAAACTTCTCTTACAGGTAAAGTGAGATTTTAAGAAGCAAACACAAAATTTCCATAATCATGTTTTAACAGTCGATCTTAGTGAAGTCACCTCACAAAAATACACCGCAAGGAGAGAAATCTTTACCCTCTGTGTTCCAGGAATTTTTGTCTTCCTGTTTTTGTTTTTAAATTCAGTTTTATTCATCTTCTTTTCCTTTTCCTGAGTGAAATGCACAGAACATTCTTGTAAGATCCCATTCTAAGAGAGCAAAGCTAGTCAGCAGGTAGACAGGGAAGCTGTCTCTAAATGAGAGCATCCTTCGTGTATTCCGAACGCTACCCGTGTGCTCAACTTCTGGCTTTTGGCTTCAGTATTTTAAAAAATAATTCCAATTTTAAAGGTGGGGACAGAGGGATGGCAGGTCTCCGTATCTGGTTATTACAAGGCAAACGTGGGGGAAACGACCTGTTGAAAACAAATGCCAGCCATGATTCCTATGGAGATTCCCTTAATAAACCGGTAAAGCGTTTAGGGAGGGTGTCCCCGAGAAAACGGTGAGCCCCGGAGCTTCCACACGGTCTCTCATAGAATCTCTAGGGTTCACGAATGAAGTTCATGGCACAAAGCATGGTGTGTATTTGATTTCTTCAGTCTGTTCTAAACTCTGCATAAAGAGCTAGAGTTTATTTCCATATTTTGTTCAGTCTGTTCTATGTGGCTTTCTAAAACTTCGTTGTTGTAGAAACGCCCGCCTAGACTAGAAAACGAGGCCCTTGCCCTTGAGAACTGCTGAAAGGAGAGAGGAAGGCCCTCTTTGTCAGCAGCCGAGTTAAAGGCGTCGGCCTTCACACGCCCGACTCGGGGGTTCAGGGAGGTCCGTGCTAGTGTAAACTCGGAGGCGGGCGCTCCGGCCCTCCTCCCGGCCGCGTCGCCGGAACGCCTCCTTCCTTCAGCCGCGCCTCCTCCTTCCTTCAGCCGGTTCACGTGAGCGCCTCCAGCGGCTACGGAAGCCTGGGCAGCAGCGACTCGCCGGAGCCGCGCGTCAGCCTCGCGGCGTCCAGTGAGGCCAGCCGACCCCGCGCCGAGGCGGCGCGCAGGGAAGCGGTACGTGAGCGACGTCGTGCGTGCGTGCGTGCGGGCGGGCGTGCGTGCGTGCGGCGTCCTCTCCGTCCCCTGCCTCGTGGTGCGAGACGGGTCAGCACCGCTTCTGCGCCTCAGCGTTGTATGTCCTTGACCCACTGGGACCGTGTTTGATGAACAGACATCCTCGTCCATTTTGGGTTGAAAAAATGCCCGTGAAAAGAAAATACGACCTTTGGGAGGTGGTATTTGGGTTCATCGTGTGCTTTCTAATAATCACCGTATTGTGGACAGATTTGTTTAAAGTTGCGTTTGTCCTGGCGTGCTGCGGCCCAGTGGGGAAGCGGGTCAGCGTTGTTACTGTGCCTTTAGTCATGTCTTCAGAAAACCGGGGCTTAAACGTACTTTATCTTTTAATGTGTTTATTGTTTATCTTAATTTGCTGATTTTTGAAACATATTCTGTCATTCTTTTCTCTAAGCTGACTTTGCAGCAGGTCTGTGCCACTGTAAACAAAATTAAGAATCTAGGTCAGCAGCTGTACATTGAGTCAATGGCCAAGTTACCAGATGAGCGAGTGACGGGGACGCGCATGGGACGGCTTGGTGGTGAGTCAGCAGGGCCGCCCCCAACCCCCTGCCACGGTTCTGCCCTCTCCTGCGTGGGCGTGGTGCGTGCGAGCCCAAAGCCACGACCCTGTGCTTCCACCTTTCACACTGACTTGCCCAGATGATGATAGAAATAATTCTAATGGCAGCAGCAAATACTGCTCTGAAAGCTATATGGTATTAGAGTGTAATTTCTGTATATTTCCACTGAAGAATTAATGTTTCTGATAATACCAGCAGATTCATAGATTCTCCCACCTGAGGCATCTGTCAACAGAAAGAGTTAGAGTGCATCTCATAATAATCCCTTCTTGTCATTTAGAACAAATGAAGGATATTTATGACCTAAATTGAATGAAAAACTGGGGACTTTTTTTTTTATGGATACATGTTTACTTTTCTCAGATATGAGGTAAGGAGCGTTCCAAAGGAATTGGATCACTCATGATAACTGACGTTTTTAGAAAAGTCAACCTACTGGCCTTATATAGCAAAAGAAAGATCTATGACATAGAGATCAAATTGTATTAACTTTTTAGTTTAGCTAGCTTTCCCTTCGTTTTCCTGAATGTTAGTATAACTTCGGAAGTCTTTATCGGTTTGGTCCCCTGAATGCTATTAATGGTTTGTATCACTGTCGAATGTGGGTATTTTACACAGTAGGGTGAAATTTCTTCTCTAAGGTCAATAAAAATTTTTAGAAAATAATAGCTATATTTTCCAGGGCTTGCCATAACTTACAAAACAGAAACATTCACCTGCTGCTTCTACAGGTGGTATCATGGGGAGCCCCTAGGCTGCCCTCTGGATAGAGCATGTCCAGCCCTTGAGTTTTTCTTGTCTTCTTGGCAGGAGGTTTAATATTCTGCTTGTCTCTTTTGCCAAAGATGCAAGGGCACGAGATAGAAACAACACCTTTTTTGTCCTTGAACCTATCAGATTCTCCCTCTGCAAAAGAATTTGAGTATCTTCCTTGCTGTATATCGTTATCCTATGTCCTAGCGTTGGAACTTCTTTAGGGGGATTTGAAGACTAAAGTTTCTAAATGTTTTCTTTTTTGTCTGGTCCACTTTGTGCTGCTCACTGCTGCTTGGGCCTAGGACCTCACGTTAGGGCCACGATTTTATGTCCTGACCTCTCTATTTCTTGTCAGAGTACAAATTGTTTCTCACCTTCTGTTTTGTTCCATTTCTTATCATCCACCATTGGTCTGGAAATGCCATCAGTACCATGGTTTGAGGGCTGTGTTTTTAAGCAGACATCAATATTCCATCATTTACCATTTTATAAAATTTAAGCCATAACTAATTCTGTGTATTTATGATGTTATTCGAGAAACTGATGATACTCTCCTATTTAGCTATGTGCTGTATTTGACTCTAACACACATAGGATGTGACTTTTGGGAGAGAGGGAAAATCTGCCATTTAATATTGCTTGGGGGAGCTATTGTTACTTGGGCATCTTGATTTTATCATCATTTTAAGACCTACAAGTTCAAAGAGCTAGTAAAATATCTTTATTACTCCTTACTCAAGAGAAACAAGTATGCAACTTAAAGATAAGAATGTTGTAATTTTAAATATTAGAAATAGCACCACTCAAAAGGAAAGTACTAAATTATCATTGTATACATGTTTTATGTACAGGGTGTCAGAGTCAAGAAGAACATAAGGTTTTAATAAGTTTATATTTTTACCTTTCTTCTGAGGGCAGGTTTGGCTTTGAAATAGAACAAGAAAGGAAATTTTAGAAGTTAATATGGAAAGGCAAGGAGTAATGAAGATATAAAGTCCCTTCATCAGCTACATATACCGATGCCAGCTGCCAGAAGCAGTTGGGGAACTTGGGGAAAATGGACTTTTCCACTTCTAGAGTGTCAGCGCCTGAGGGAGAAACATTGACCCATGAACTGAACTCATTCAGGGTGAGCATGCTTTGGTTTGTGCGCAGGGAGAGCTGGAAAGAGCATCATTCCAAACTGACAAGGAAAAAAGCTATATGGCAGTGAGTTCATGAGCTTTCTTGAACCCATCAGAGTGCTGAGGCTCCAGGGCAGCCAACAGGCCTAAAATCTAAGAGGGATACATGCTTTCAGGGAGACATGAGATCAAGCCCCGGATACTGTGCACCGGCTGACAGAATCAGTAACTCGCAAGAGACAGGCCTCTGAGGCATAATGCAAAGGGAAGATCAAAGGCTGCAAGTGGAGCAAATATTGGCAAAAACCCAAAGCTCTCTAGCACACCAGCCACCACATAAGCACAAAGTGTCATTAGAGAAATTTGAAAGCTGTGATACATTGACTGAAACCATAGCAACAACAAATCTCAGTCCTGGCCAACAAATTAGTTAGGTTAAATGTCTTCAGAGGAAAACTAAAGCTGTTAGCGCAGAATTCTCTACCTAGTGGAAAGTATCTTTCAGAAATGAAGGAGATCTAAAGAGTTCTCAAACAAAAATGGGGGGGGGATGTATATTGCCAGTAGATCTATTCTATGAGAAACACTAAGGGAATTTCTAAAGGTGGAAGGAATATGGTACCAGACATAAAACTTGACACAAAGAAATGAAAAGCACTGGAAACAGAATTAATGAAGAAATTTTATTTTTTACTTATTTTTGATTGGCCTAGAAGGTAACTGACTAAAGCAGAAATACTCTCCTGCATTTATGATCTATGTAAAAATACTATAAAGGATCAGGAGAGGCACTGGGAACGTGTTGCTATGGAGTCCTTACACCAGAAGCAATATGTTATTTGAGGGTAGAAACTGATTCCTTAAAGGTATGTGTTGTGAACTTTAGAACAATTATTAGAACTCGTTTCTAAAGAAGTATAAATAATGTCAGTAGAGGAGACAAAGCGGAATTTAAAACAATGCAAAATGAAGCAGAAAAGAAACAAAAACCCAGATGGAATAAATGGAAAACAGCAAAGTTGCATACTTTTAATTCAGCTGTTTCTGTAATCACATTAAATGTGAATGTTCTCAGTGTACCAGCTGGAAGACTGAAATTATCAATTGGATGAGAAAAGATAAGAAGCAGCTGCATAGTATCTACAAGAACCCATTTTGCAAATAAAAACATAGGTTAAGAGCAAAAGGTTAGAGAAGATATGCATGCTAACGGGAATCCAAAGAAAGCTGAAAAGCTGTATTAATATCAGGTAGTGTAGACTTTAGGACCAGGAACATTACCAGGGTTTCAGAGGGATATTGCATGACAACAGAGGGGTTGATTCTCCTAGAGCATGTGACAGTCCTAGAAGGTTATACACCTAACATCAGAGCTTCAAAATACATGAAGTAAACACTGATAAAGACTTTGAGAAATAAATCTGCAGTGGTAGTTAAAGACTGGAACACACCCCTCTGTGTAATTGATAAAACAAGTGGAGAGAAAATCAGTAAAGATGTAGAAGACTTGAACAGCACTGTCAACAAAATTGGCCTAGTGGACATTGATGGAACACTCCAATCAACAACAATATGATGCTTATTTTTCTCAAGGGCACGTGGACCATTCATTAAGATAGACCTTATTCTGGGCCATAATACCAGCCTTACCAATTTTTTAAAAATATAAATCAAAACAAATATATTCTCTGACCTAATGGATTAAACTAGAAATCAGTAACAGGAAGGTTTATCTAGAAAAATCACAAATGTTGGGAAATTGAACACACCTCTGAATGACCCACAGGTCAAGGCCTTAAGGGAAGTAAAAACATTTTGAACTGAATGAATTGAAAAAAAAATTGTGGAATGCAGCTAAAGCAGTGCTTAAAGGGAGATTTCTAGCATTAAGTGATTATATGAGAAAAAGAAGAAAGGTCTCAAATCAAAATCTAAGCTTCCTCCTTAAGAAACAAGAGCAAATTCAATCCAAGCTAAGCAGAAGGAAAGAAATCGGAAAAACCAGATTATCGATGGAAGTGAGAACAGAAACCAATAAAAGAAAATTAATGAAATCAAAAGCTGATAAGAATAAAATTAACAAACCCTTGGCCATACCAAACAAGAAAAGAAGACAGAAATGCTCACTATTGGGAATGAAAAACCCCACAGATGTTAAAGAGACTACCAACAACTCTATTCCCAAACTTTGGTCTGTTAATAAGAATGAACCTATCAGAACTCAGTGAAAAAGAAATAGATAGCTAGAATAGACTTATGTCTGTTACAGATACTGAATTTGAAGTTAAACACCTTCCAAAAAGAAAAGTTTAGGCCCAGCTGGTTTTACTGGAGAATTCTATCAAACGTTCAAGGAAGAAATAATGCCAGTTTCTATGTAATCTTTTTCAGAAAATAGAAGACAAGAAAATAGAAGGACATTTGGAAAGGAAACTCCCAGACTCCTTTTCTGAGCCCATTATTACCCTAATACTGAAACAAAATAAAGACAGTTCCAGGAAACTACAGGCCAGGATTCCTCGTCAGTATATTTGTAAAATCCCCGGTTATATATCATCAAATCAAATCCAGCAAAGCATAAAAAGGAGAAATATATCACAACCAAGTATGATTTATCCTAGGAATGCAAGGCTGGTTCAATATGTGAAAGCCACATTTATTCACCGTATTAACAATAAAAAAGACAAACCCAACAGGTTATTTTAATAGATGGAGAAAAAGCCTGTGACAAAATTCAACATGCACACATGATAAATGCTCAAAAATTAGAAGGAGAAAAGGGATTTCATTAACCTAACAAAAAAGGCATCTATAGCTAATGTTTATGCTTGATGTTAAGAGAATGCTTTCATCCTCACCTGGAGAACAAGTGAGGGGTATCCACTCACCATGTCTTAACATCAAACTGGAAGTCCTGTGCCCAGTGCAACAGGCAAGAGAAATAAAAGACATAATAGATTGGAAAGGAAGAAATAAAACTCTCTTCACAGATGACAGGTTTGTCTACATAGAAAAATTCTAAAGCATCTACAAAAAAAGCTCCTACTGATGTTAGCAAGGTTACAAGATACATGGTCAGTATGTAAGATCAATTAAAATTGTGTACTAACAAGGAACATTTGGACCAGAAATTTTTTTTAAACTACCCAAAACTGAAATACTTACAGAATAGGTGAAACAATACGTATACAGAAAACTTCAAAACACTGATAAAAAAAACTTTAAAAAGTACTAAGTAAATGAAAAGATATATCAGGTTCATGGTTTGGAATACATGATATTGTTGTCAGTTCTCCCCAGTTTGATCTGTACATTCAGTGTCATTCCGAGTAAACTCTCAGCAGTTTTTTCTATGGGAAAAAAAACAAAACAAAACAACTAAAACAGCCAAAACAATTTTGAAAAAGAGTAACAGTGTTGGAGGACTCACTCCATCTGATTTCAAGACTTAAACGTGAAGCCACCATAATTAACACAGTGTGATACTGGTGAAAAGATCAGTGGACAAATTAGTCCCAAAACAGACCTGCACAAATACAGTGTTTTTGAGGTGCAAGATCAAGTCAGTGGATAATAGGGTAGACTTTGCAAAAAAAAAAATGGTACTGTACAGTGAGACACCCACATATGTAAAAAATGAACCTCAACACATAGCTCACATGTTATACAAAAGTTAACTCAAAATTGGTCATAGACCTAAATATAAAACTTAAAACTACAAACTTGTAGAAGAAAACTTAGGAGAAAACCTTTGTAATCTTGGGTTTGGCAAAAAGGTTACTAGATATGACATCAAAAGTGTGATCTGTAAAAAAAAAAAAAAAAAGGTGGATGAGGTGGACTTTATCAAAATTAAAAACTTCTCCTTAAAAGACATTGGTAAGACAATGAAAAGACAATGTCTGTAAATTATAGATAGAATAAAAAATTCGTATCCAGAATACATAAAAGACTGTCAAAATTCAACAATAAGATAATCCATTCAAAAATTGGTCAAGAGATCTGACACTTTTCCAGTAAAGTACACACAGATGGCAAATAACATGGGAAACAACACTCAGTCTCAGTCATTATGAAGTTAAAACCACATGAGATACCATCACACACCCATTAGAATGGCTAAAAGTGAAAGAAAAAATACTGGCAGTACCAAGTTCTGGCAAGAATGCGGAGTAGCCGGAGCCCTCAGGCAGTGCTGAAGGCAATGTAGAATTGTACAGCCACTTTAGAAAAGTTTGGCGGTTTCTTATAGATTAAACATACTCTTACTGTATGACTCAGCAATTCCATTCTTACTCAAGCAAAAGAAAAACTCAAATTCACACATAAACTTGTCTGTGTATGTTTATTATACGTCACTTGTACTTATCCAAAATTGGAAACAACCTAGATGTCACTCAACAGGTGAATGGGTATGTGTAACCAATTTTTAACGTCCAGTTTGGTGGCATTAAGTCCATTCACCGCTAGGTGAAGGTATAAGAGAAACAGGATATTTGCATGGCCTCAGAATGTGCCTTTGAAACATTTATTGTTTACATCATGTATTACATGTAAAATAGTAACTTTACGTGGAAGAAACCTGGCAGACAGCACCTTAACCAGTGATCAAGACTGACACACCAACAGTAAACATGTCAAGGTCATGTCCTCCTGGCATGAGGCACTGGAAGGGCATAGCACCTCTGCAGGAATCTTCCCCAAGATGCACACCCTCAACCTCATCATGACGGAACATCACGGAAACTCAAGTTGAGGGGCATTCCCACAGAATTCCTGTCCTGTACTCCTCGCAAGAGTTGAGATCGGGAAAGACAAGGAAAGACAGACACTGACGACTGAAATCACCGTGAGACCCCGGGTTGGACCCTGGAGCAGAAAAATGACATTTCACGGAGAGGCGGGTGACATCCACGTAGGCTGTGGTTCAGTAGCTGTGCGCCACTGTGCATTTCCTAGTTTCGTTCGTTCTGTTAATAGTTGTGTAAGATGTTACATTAGTGGAAACTAAGGTGGAAGGTATACAGGAACTCTGCTGTTTCTGTAACCCTCAAGGTTAAAATTATTTAGAAATTATAAGTATAGAAGCTCCCGGCTGACTCGGTTGGTGGAGCACGCGACTCTTGATCTCAGGGTCATAAGTTCAAGCCCCCCTATTGGGTGTAGAGATTACTTAAAAAAAATCTTCAAATAATTTTTTTTAAGTTTAAAAGTTAATGAGTGACAGTTAAGCAGGCCTTTTTCTGTAATCCCCTCTGGAAATGGAGCGCCGTCTTCCAGGCAGCTAAGATGACCTTCACTAACAACAACAATGGTAGCTAAGTCAGCCTCTAGCAGCGTTTGACATAACTGGTTCCTCTTTCCTGGAACTCGTTTCCCGGCTTGGTTTCTGCAACACCGTGTTGGTGGGCTCTCTCTTACCTTTCTTTTTTAGTCTTCATTCTTGGCTTATCATTCTCCACATGAGGTTAAAGTTCAGGGTTCCAACCTGAGGCCTTGTGTCTTCTCTCTGTACCCCCGCTATCCAGTATGGTAGCTACTAGCCACACTTTAAATTCAAATTAGTTACAAATAAATAAAACTTAAAATCCAGTTCCTCAGTTGCTGTAGCCATATTGCAAAGTGCTTAAGCTACCTGTGGTGTTGGTGGCCACCGTGCTGGACAGCACAGATGAAAGACAGTACTGTCACTGCAGAAAGTCTTGTTGGACACAGGTCTACAGGGCAGTGCCTGGTGCTTCACATGGTGTCTGGTCACCCCACCCCCAGTGATGCCAACATCGGTCAGTTGGCAGGTAGTGTCAGCTCAGTATCATGAAGTCCCCATCAGCCTTCCACCTGATAGTTGTATTACTAATCTCTGCCTGAAACGTCTGTTTCATTCCTTTTTTGTAAAAAAAAAAAAAAAGTGATCATTCTTGTAATCATTCCATATGGATATCTTTCTGTATTGGTGTATTTTTTTAGATCTGAGTTCATCTTTAATAGCTACATAATATTCTATTGAATGTATACATGCTAAAGGACCTGATCTAATTGTGTTGGATATGTTCTTAGGTATATAATATTTTTAATTACGTATCCTTTTGTTTTGTTTCAGATGAACAGAAGGCCTCATCTGCCTTCCAGACGTTGAAAAACAATAGCGTGCCCACGTTGAAAAACAATAGCGTGCCCACGGAGTCTTGTGAAGACTGGAGAGAAGACCAGCATAGCCCATCCTATCAGCAAATAAACTGCATTGACAGTGTTATCAGGTGTGAGACACAAGTTTTGAGAACATGTCCGTTTTTCCAAAAGCATACATCGCCATTGTAAGCACACATCTTACATCATTTTTAATATTGGTTGTCTTGATTTTTCACTCTAAGTCAATAGATCTTTATGGAGTGCCTACTTACATATAGTTTATAATAAATTGAACATTTCAGGGGATGCAAAAAATTAGAAGATGGATCCCTTCTTTGAAGGAGCCATGGTATGGAGAAGACAAGACCTTGATCATTAAAATTAAATGAGGCAAGATTTGGAGATCAATTCAAGGTCACAGTAAAAGAGATAGGACAGGCCAGTGATTGAGGCTGGGATGGTCAGGGAAGACCTCATCAAAGAAGAGAGTACAAAGTACCCACACAGAAATGGGAAGTGGCAGAGTTAGGGGACAGGCAGACATGCGTGACCTAATTCTGTTGTTGCAGATACCTGGAGAGCTACAGCATTCCAGCTTTGAAAAGAAAGTGCCTATCCTGTACCAGTACAACCTCCTCGTCCTCAGAAGAAGCCAGCCCGAACCACGAGGCAGATGATGTCGCAGCCTTGCACGGTAATGCGGGTGCCCTCCTCGCTAGGCAGAGGGTGATTACAAAGCCATCCCTTGCTGTTTCTAAGTTTTTGTCTTTACTTATTTCGTTAATCACAAACAAGCCTAGTTTCATATTGCTCCTTTATGGCCAGTAGGTTTTAGCCCATCAGTTACAAACATCTGCAAATTGAGTCTTTAACATAAATTTCCCGTGGGGATTTTTCTTTTTATCGTCAGTGTCTCTTGCGCCTCCAGCTGCATCTCAGACCCCAGCCATAGCTAACCTGGAGATGCCGACCGCCCAGCGGGCCGCACACATTGCAGGAGGCGCTCTACGGACGCTGGCCCCCGAGGCACTGAGCCTGGGCTCCGGCGTGAGCCATTGCAGCTACGGCCCACACCGTCGTTTGTGCCCCACCCCCAGAGTCAGGTGCCACGTTTACCTTCTGCTCTCAAGTGCGCTCGGTGTGAAATACACTACTGCGAGAAAACAAAAGCCCTTAACACCAGTTACTTAGGAATGACTTCTTAAATTATAATTATGTTTTCCTTTCTTTGACTCAGTTAAAGTACTTTGGGAAATATCATCATGTTTGTATTGGTTACATGTTGGGACTGTATTTCTAAGTCATTGTCACTTGTCACATCAGCTGATGTGTGGGAAGCACTTAGTACCTGATAACATAGTAATCTCAGTGTTAACTATCACTAATGAAGTCTCCTTTGGGGCTGCAGTTAGGTCACTTTGTTGCTGCCCTTGAAAGAAGGTGTTCTTGTCAAACTTTGACTGGGGTTGTGACTAGATTGACTATATATACATCCAGATTTTTGTATTGGCCTGATGACAATGAGGAGAGTGTGTTTAAAACTCTCTTCCTTTTAACAACATAATGACTTGGTAAATTATTCTGATGTCTTCTTTTTGTTCCTTTTTACTGCCTCCTGCCCTTTGACTTTGTTGTTATAACAATTTGGTGGATGAAGAACTGGGGACAAAGTGTTAAATCAGGTTTTCAGTTCTCTCTCATTTCTCTTTGCTAGTCTTCAGTGGCAGATTCGTAAACGTGTTGAGCTATTACTCTCTGCCACCATCTGTCCTGAGTCCTTCATAAGAATTAACTCACTTAATCCTCACACTGACCCTTGGAGATAGAGAGTCTAGTATTGACAGGTGGGCTGGGCGTCAGTGAGAAGACACAAGAGACACAGCTGTTGTGAGATTAGACTATGTTTCTAATGAACTGAAAATAGTTTTATCGGAGCTGAGCTAGTCCCTCAGGAAGGGGCAGATGCACATTTTTTAGTGTCCCTTAACACTTTAGATTCCCATGTGGACATACAGCTGCCAAGGACAGCCCACACAGGGTGGGTCTCACCCAGTGGGGAAGGAATTTTGTGGTTATGCCTCTAAACTTCTTGTACTGTGGTGTATATTACCATTTTGAAAGAACTCATATTGAAGTCTCTAAGCTTTCAGTTAAGGGAATATTTACTGACAATTGTTTCTCCTGATCTTAAACTAGTCTCAGCATCTGCGGGGCCACATTCCAAGGACAGGAAACAGAATCAGGGGATCTGTAGAGTATCCATATATCTTCTACTGTCTGGAAAGCCTATATTCCTGCAGCTTACACCGTGACCCTACTAATGAGTGGGGTCTGAGGACTGTGACCACAAATGCATTTCTCTGCCAGTCATGATCTCCATTATGTATACGGAGCAGTTAAGGCACAAACAGGTTAAGTCCCTTAACTTGCCCAAAGTCACACAGCAGATGAGTGGCAGACTAGGGAATCAGACATTAATAAGTAGTCTCCAGAAACTATTCCATTAACACATATTTTTGAATCTGTAGTAGGGTCAAGTTAGAGTGTAAAATAAAGCCAGGAGATAAATTAAGATGTAATTTTAAGAAACACACAAATAAACCTGGGGCATCTGGGTGGCTCACTCAGTTAACCATCTGACTCTTGGTTTCAGCTCAGGTCGTGATCTCAGGGTCATGGGATCAAGCTCTGTGCTGGGTGTGGAGCTTGCTTGGGATTTTTTCTCCCTCCTCTCTCTCCCTCCCCTCTCTCCCTCCCTCTGCCTCCCCTCACACATGCACACTCTCTCTCTCTAAGAAAAAATAATAATAAACACACAAATAATCCAAAAGGGCAGAAAAGGAGGAAGAGGGCAACAGCCATCACCATGAGAGGGGAATATGTCATATTAATAATAATCACTCTAAACCCAACTATATCCACTCCCATTAAAGGGCAGAAATTGTCAGAACAGATAAAAAATCAAGACCCAGCTGTATACTGTCTGGGAAGTATAATTTAAATATAAATCCACAAATGGATTGAGAACAAATGGGGAAAGAGGCACAACGCAAACGAGAAGCATAAGAAGGCTGGCGATCCGGTATGGTTCAGACTTCAAGACAGGGTCTTCCCAGAGACGCTTCATGGTGCCAAACAGTTCATTGGGGAGACACGGCAATCAGAATACATTGTGCATATTTGCTACTAACAGAGCCTCCAAGATAGGAGGTAAAAATGGAAAGAGTTAAAGAGAGAAATAGACTTTCTATAACCGTAGTTGAAGAATGTAACACCCCTTCTGTGCAGTTGATAAAACATCTAGACAGTTAAATAAAATTTTTAAAAAAAATCTAGACAGAAAATGAGTAAAGCAGATGATCTGAACAACGCTATCAACCACGTTAACCTAGTTGACCTTTAGGGAACACAGCACCTGATACCTGCACAATACACATTCTTCTCAAGTGTATACGATATGTTCGTTGAGTTATAAAATACATTGGGCTGTCATATGTCTCAAATTTAAAATAGTTCAATTAGGAATCAGTGAAGGCATCTGGGGTTAGAGTTTTCCTAGCTAAGTGTTTAACTGCAGATTCAGTTTCTGTCATAGCAGAAGGCTGTTGAGGTTTTCTACTTGTTGAATGAACTGTTAGTTTGTGTCTTTAAAAGAATTGGTGTATTTTGTCTATGTTGTCAGGTTTATTGGAATGAAAGTGTTCATAATGTTCCCTTATTCTTCTTTTGACACCTGTATGATCTCTAATGATGCTCCTCTGTCATTTCTGAGGTTGGCACCTTCTGTTTTCTTTTCTTTTTCCCCGATCAGTCTGGCTAGAGTTTGATCAATTTGATTGGTCTTCTCAAAGAACCAGCTTACGATTGCACTGGCTTTGTTCGTTGTTTTCCTGTTCTCTACGTCACTGACTTCTGCTCTGGTCTTTGTTATTTCCTTTTTTCTGCTTGCTTTGGTTTTATCTTGCTCTTCTCTTTCCAGGTTCTCAATGTGGAAGGTGAAATAATCAATTTCAGACATTTTTCTTTCCTGCCGGATTTTAGTACAAATGTTCGTTTTACCTGTTGCTGCATTCCATGCATTTTTGTGGATTGTGTCATTTTCATCGTGTTCTGTACTGACTCCTACCCCCAGCTGTCTCATTTGAAATCACTTATCATCATGTGTCTGTTACCGTACAGTACTTCAGCACCACAGATTTGGGGGTTTTCCACGGCTCTGTTACTGATTTCTAATTTAATCCCATTGTGGTCAGAGAAAATACAGAACCTGAATTCTTCTTTATTTGTCGAGACTTGTTTTATGGTCTGTGATATGGTCTCTCTGGATGACTGTTCTGTGTGCACTGGGAAGAATGTTTATTCCGCTGCTGTTGGGTTGAATGTTCTGTGTAAACCAAGTCAGGGTGGTGGTTACTGTTGTTCAGATCCTGTCTGTCCTTACTAGGTTTCTCAGTACTTGTTCTGCTTCAGGAGGAGAACGGAAATCTCCGACCATAATTATGGATTTGTCTGTTTCTTCTAGCGATACTACTGGTTTTTGTTCATGCATTTTGAAAGCACTCTTATTTTGTGCATAAATGTTTAGAAGTGTCATGTCTTCTTGGTGAATTGGCCTTTTCTGTCTTGTGAAATGAACTTCATTATCCCTTGTACATTCTCTGCTCTAAAATACACTTTGTCGGGGTGCCGGGGGAGCTCAGTTGGTTAAGCGTCTGCCTTCGGCTCAGGTCATGATCTCGGGGTCCGGGGATCGAGCCCCGCATCAGGCTCCCTGCTCCTCAGGGAGTCTGCTTCTTCCTCTCCCTCTGCCTCTCCCCTCAGCTCATACATTCTCTCTGTCAAATGAGTAAATAGAATCTTTTTAAAAAATAAAAAATAAAATACACTTTGTCTCGTATTAATGTATTCACTGCAGCATTTTTTTATTAGTACTAGCATGTTATATCTTTTCCACCCTTTTACTTTTAACCTGGGTATGTTAATATTTAGAGTGGGCTTTATTTTAGTGGTTGCTTTGGGGCTCATGGTGTACACATTCAATTGTTCACCACCCACCTTCTGGAAATATTATACCCCTTCATGTATATAGTGTTAAAACCCAACAGTAGGGTACTTCTGCTTCCCCCTTCTGGCCTTTGTTGGCTTATGTTTTCCTTCTCCGCACGTCGTACATCTCGGCCTATGCTGCTGTTCTCATGTAGGCAGTGCTTATCTCTTCACCTGTGTACCCACGTAGCTACCTCCTCCACTGCTTTCGTTCTGTTATGTAGATTCATCTAGGATCATTCTCCTTCTCCCTGAATGAGTTCCTTGACTAGTTCTTTTCCCATGGGTCTAGTGGTGGTGAAACCTTTCTGGTTTCGTGTGTCTGAAAATGTCTTTGTTGTCCCTTCCTGCTGTAAGGGTATTCTGCAGAGCATAGAATTCTGGTTGGCAATTTCATCGTTCATTACTTTAAAGATGTTGCTCCACCGTCTTCTCAATGCACTGTTTTCAGTATAAATCTGCTGCTATCTTTGGTTTGTTTCCAGTTTCAGCTTCTCTTTGGCTGCTTGTAAGATATTCTGTCCGTCTCTCTCTCTCTCTCTTTTTTTTTTTTTAAGATTTTATTTATTTGAAAGAGAGAGCGAGCACACAAGAAGGGGGAGGGTCAGAGGGAGAAGCAGACTCCCCGCTGAGCAGGGAGCCCGATGTGGGACTCGATCCAGGGACTCCAGGATCATGACTGAGCCGAAGGCAGTCGCTTAACCAACTGAGCCACCCAGGCGCCCCTCTTTTTTTTTTTTTTTTAAGATTTTATTTATTTATTTGCCAGAGAGAGAGAGAGTGCAAGTGCACAAGCAGGGGAAGCAGCAGGCAGAGGGAGAAGCAGGCTCCCCGCTGAGCAGGGAGCCCGATGTGGGGCTCGATCCCAGGACCCTGGGACCATGACCTGAGCCGAAGGCAGACGCTTAATGACTGAGCCACCCAGATGTTCTCTTTATCACTGATTTGCATGGTTTCAGTATGATATGCCAAGATGCGCTGTCCTTCTGGTTCATCGAGCTTCTTGGATTTGTAGGTTTACAGCTTCCATCAAATTGAAAGTCTTCCCTCTCCTGTT